TTTGATCAGTAAAAGTAGTTTAGAAAAGAATCTAATTTGATTAAGGGCTTATTAATAATTAAAAACAGACCTCAAAATCTCTCGAGCATTTATTTATCCCGTGCCAGGCTCGGTGCTAAGCACTTAGTAGGTGTTATCTTATTAAGCTCTCTCAACAACCCTATGGAAGTAGATTCACCATTATCATCTCCATTTTCCAGAGGAGAAAACTGAGGCTTAGTGAGGGTAACTTCCCCAAGTTCACACAGCCCGTGGATGGTGAAATCTGTCAGGCGGGATTGTCGTAATCACGGTAAAAACCTGCCTCTGTATAACTGACAATATGCTTCCTGAGGCCTCGTGGATGTTATTATCATTACTGGTGAAATAATGGTTCTAGCCATAGGCTTTGCAGCTGTGTATCCTGGGTTCAAATCCCACCTCTGCCATTTACTAGCTACCAGTATGTGACCTTGGTTACTTACCATCCTTGGGCCTAGGTTTCTCATCTGTAAAATGGGTAGAATAATAGAACTTATTTAGTAGAGGTTCTAGAAATGAAATGAGGTAATTTTAATACGGCACATTGGAATACGTAACTTTTGGAAAGACTGGAGGAGGAAATAAACAGGATGAAGTGGAGGTGAGAAACTGGCAGGAGGCAGTGGTGAGTCTAGATTAGAGGGCCAGGGAAGGCCTGTCTGGGTAGGAGAGCACAGTGGTTATACACACCCTGTTGGGAGGGGAAGAGACTGGGGGCCGGGTGGCCACAGCCCAGTGACGGAGGAGAGGGGAGCAGATGAAGTGAGACAGGTCAGTGAGGTCTAGATCTCCAAGGGCCTTGACAGGCGTGGACTGTGGCCTTCTAACTAAATGCTCCATTATCTCACACCCCAATTCCCCCAACGTAAGGAGACAGGCCCCCAGGCGGTGGGGCTGAAAGGGCAGAGAGAGAGAGAGAGGCCCTGAGTGGCAGAGGAGTGAAGCAGTGCCAGGCAACCCTGCCCACTAGCCCTGCTGTAAAGACCAAGGCCCGTTCGTGTAGTTTGTACCCAACGGCCAATGAAAAGGAGAGAAGGGGGCTGAGAATAATAGGCAGTCACTGAGATCTAGAGCTGACATTTTGCAAAAGGTATTTTGAGAATTGGCTGGAAGGGAGGCTGTTTCCCATGAACTTCCCCTCCATCGGAGCACAAGGCGGCTGTGATGTTTACTTGTGAGCTTGTAACATACAAACGAAACGGCTTCCAAACACGTCCAAATAACTCAAAGCAAGCAAACCACGGAAAAATTCAGTAGCAGATGCCAAGGGGCCTCCCCCTCCATCCCTCGTGCCACTATTTGGGAACCTCAGAAGATGACGTTTTTCCTGGTCACTCGGGCTGCCTGCCATCACCGAGGCCGGCTTCCTGGTGGGCAGAATGCCCAAAGAAAGGCAGACATTGCTGCTGCTTCTCACTCTCTGCCGTGTCAGGGGCTGTTTGTACTCCCCTCCCCTGCCCGCCCCCCCCCCCTCAACTGCTGCCAACTGGACAAAAGGTATCTGTCCTCACAAAAGCACTGGGGGTCTGGGGGTCACCTCCCAAAATCTATTGAGTTCTAGGTGTGGGTTGATACAGTTAATTTACGTCTCGGGACCCACAAAATGGAGGCCGCTTCAGCGGCCCAGCCCTGTCACAAATCTAAGCCTAGGTGGGCCTACACTTATGGAAAACACCTGCCAAAGAACCCTAATGTGCACCAATCAGAATCTTCCAACTCAGTTTACCTAACCTTAGAAAATTGGTCATTGCCTTATAAAGAAATCCCCCACCTTTCCTGTGGCCCCTTCTAACTCTATAAAACTAGCTCTTGCCAAAAACCCCCCAGGAAGAGGCTCCACACTTTGGGAGGCTCTGCACTCCCCGAATCCATGGATTGTTCTCCCTTGATTAAAGGAACGAGTAAACTCATTACTAAATTGCTTCGTTTTGTCATTTGACAGGGCTGAGAAAGCTGAGGTAGTGTGAGCCCAGGGCTACAAGCTCTGCAAAATCTCAGCTGCTAATGAGAACATACTGTCCATGTATTTGAAGGTTAAGCTTCCAAATATATTTGTCATATTTAGTAATTCACCTTCAGAAATATCGTTTGGAGGCTTAAGACAGGCTAGAGTCACTAAAGTAATTGCAATATCTATCCAGCTCTCAGGTAGATTCCTAGAAATAATTGGAGGGGAAATTGAGCCAAAAAACCCCCCAGAATCGGAGGGGTATTGGAGGGACAGCTCAGGAAAGCAACATTTTTTTGGAAAACCATACATATGAAATTAATACATAATAAAAATGGCATAATTTAGTGGAAGAATGGGTTTTTTTGTTATTGCAGAAGCAATTAGTTAAAGCAAAGCTGTTTTAAGCCCTCAAATCACTCCACATACCAAAATAAATTTCACATGGATCCAATAGTGAAATGGAATGGACAAAAAAAAAAAAAAATCTAGAGAAAGGTAAATATTGATCCATGAGTGACAAAGAACTCTGAGCTTAAAAGCAAATTGAAGCTACAAAGAAAAATTGTACAGATTTTACTATTTAAAATATACATTATACATTTAGAAATATATAAAATATGCATTTCTCAACAAGAAAACAACAAATAAGTCAATGAGCGTGAAAAATATCTGCAACAAATATAAAATGATTAATACACCTAATATATAATATGTTCATGCAAACAGGGAAGAAAAACAATCCCCCATAAAAGTGGACAAGGGATATGAAGAGATACTTCACAAAAGAAGGAATGCAAAATGGTACCTAACTCCACCAAACGTGTGCGAGTTTCCCATCATCAAGCAATTCTTCGGATGTCCTACAATTCAACTTCTTTCTGACACTACATATCTGGAGATCCCACAAGACACTCCCCTTCCACTTCAGAGGCCAATCTCAAGTGTAGGTTGTCACCTGTGCTTCTGACTGACTGGCTATAATTGGGAGGTTCCCATGACTCCCTCCTTGGGTTTGATTAATTTGCTGTGTGGCTCACAGAACTCAGGAAAAACAGTTCACTTACTAGAAGGTGACTGGTTCATTATAAAAAGATACAAGTCAGGGACTGCCAAATGGCATGATGCACAGGGCAAGACACAGGGGGGAGGGGAATGGAGTGTCCATGCTTGTCCCAGGCCTGTCACCCTCCCAGGACTTCCACATGCTCACCCACCTAGAAACTCTCAAACCCTGTACTTTAGGGATTTTTATGGAGGTTACATTACATAGGCCTGGTTGATTAAATTATCGGCCATTAGTAATTGACTCACACTCCAGGACTCTCACATCCCTAGAGGTTGCAGTGCGAGCTCACAGTTCCAACCCTCTAGTCACATGCTATTTCGCCTGGCAACAAGCCCCCACACCGCGGGACTTTCCAGCTGCCACCTCGTTAAGGTAAACTCAGGTGTGGTTTAAAGAGCTTGTTGTGAAGAAATAAGACCTCTTTATCTGTATTATCACCTAGAAAATTCCAAGAGTTTTAGGAGCTCTAGTACCAGAAATGGGACAAAGAACAAATATATATTTCATATTATAAATCACTGCATCACATTAACTAACATAAAAAAGTCTATACCTCACGTATGTAATGTGATCATAGATATGCCAGGTAAAACAATCTATGAGTTTCATCAAAACAGCAGATAAAAACACCTGATAGCAAGAGTACACTAATGATGGTGGACGTGAACATTCTTACGAACTTTCGAGGAGCCAATTTGACAATATGCATTAAAAACCCTAAAAATAGCCATATCTTTTGGCCGAGTAATTCCATTATAAGTTTCTATCCTAAGGCAGCAATCAGAAATGCAAGCAATGATTTATGTAAAGGAATGTTCAACACAGTATTACTTTGGCAAAACAAGCAACCTGGAAGCAATTTGAATGTCCAGCATAAGAATTACATTAAGACATATCAAGATGATGCAACTCTATGCAATCTTAAAAACACAAAAAAAAACAGGTCTAAAATCACACTTAAGGAAACATCTGCGATGTTCATGTTGGCCATGGTATTTCTGGGTGGTGACATTAGGACAATTCTCTTTTTGCATGAAAAATATTGCCAGAATTATGGGCTATATTTATGAAAAAGTGAAAACGCTAAAACAAATAAACAAAAAAATAAAATCGAAAGGAGACTATCACTGAAATGGCTCTCAGATCCAAGACTTCGGGAGGGGTGGGGTACAGGTAGACGATACCGAAATATGCACTGCGGTTGTCATGAGGGAAGGAAGGAAAGAAGGAGTTACAGAAATGCGTTTTTGTTTTTGTTTTTTGTTTTTTCCTTTCCCAAAGAAGCCTACGATTTTACAGGTGAAAAAGCATAATGGAAGCTGTTAAGAGAGACAGGCTACATGAAAAAAACAGCAAAACAAAATCTTATAAGATGTGTACCAACAGAGCTAGCGCCCCACCATGAATTTGCATCAAGGGGTGAGAATAACGGAGTCTAACACAGGCATTGAAAAGCTCTTAGACCCTGGAACCTTCTTCCTGACCACCTTCATCCACGCAGTGGGTGCTTTTAGGCTTCACAGGGTTTCTCGTTCACTACCTTTAACAGTTCAGCTGCTGTGAGTTCATGATCTGCCTTTGTTTGGCTGCCTTTATCTGGCGACCAATTTCCTTCACAGCTGCAGGTATTCCTGCAGACCCTGCTGCCCACAGCTACCCCCCTCCCCACCACCACCACCTTGAGTTTCTAACCATTGATACTGGCAAGCCCCTCACCAATTTTGAGACCAGAGGTACACAGGGTGATGCTGAGGAAAGAAAGGAGAGCAGAGAGTACGAAGGTAGATCATACATGGGTGGGGGGTGGGAGTGGGGGTTGCGGGTGGAGGTCACAGGCACCGACCACCTGTAATCTCCCCATGCCCACTGCTGGAATGTGAAAACTCGGAGAAGAAAACACGCGTCCCACAGAGTGGCAGGCGTCTGGGCGAGCCTCGGTATATATGCAGGGCAGGTACTTACAAACAGAAGTTGCAGAACCCACAGAAACTTGTAAAAAGGAAGAGCAGGAAATCAGGTTCGGTTGATGCCTCTTGCTGGCTGGCTGGCTGGCTGTCAGGCTCCAGGAACAGGACAGCGGAGAGTGGGATGGCAGATAGATACAGTCCTGAGCTGAAGGCCGACTTACGTCTGCAGTGGGTGCCCAAGTGAGGAAACAGCCCAAGTCAGTGAACTTTAATACCCTTGAGCTGACTGATGTCACTATCAGCTGATTTCACTTTCATTTCTAAACTTCCGTGCATGGGACTTTTTAGAAGAGTCATAAACAACATGTGCTTTTTTTTTTTTTACCCACAACTGGACCCAACCGGCTGACTTAAAGACCAGGTAACTGTCTTGATTATATCACACACCCATTCCAGAAAGGAATCTGGCTGAGACACTCTCAAAGCTCTCAGTGAGTTTAAACTCCAAGATAAACACAACCTAGAACCATATTTAGAAGCGACCTCCGGGACCATCTGGTCCAAGCTGCCGGACCCGCGTCGCCTTCTGGGAAGCACTTTTGCCATCCTGTCCCCTCCTTTTCAGAAACCAGCTTTGTAGGATGACTGGGCTCTTCGGCACACAAAACCTCGTCTTAGCATTTTCAGGAGGGTGTTTAGGCCCGTGCTGGAGCAGCTGGAACAACTCTTATTGCAAAAGAAAAGCCGAATGAGGATTCTCGTTTTGCAATCATGGGGGCTCCTAGCCAGGGTTTACAAATTGCTCTTTGCTCACGTGACCAGTTAGAAAGTCCAAGTTGGGGTTAAGCTTGGTTAAGTCATGAGACAACTACCTCATAATATTGCTGAATCCTTTAGGGTTGCCCTTCCCCTCCCCCCAAATATGTTCTTTGAGCTGCTACTTTTTTTTTTTTTTTTTGCCTCCTTCTTTGCAGTACTTTTAAACTCAAACCCTTAGAAAGAGGTGATTGTGATCTAACAGAAAGGAAGACAGAGGCTCGGGCATCAAGGGAGCTCTGCTAGAGATTAGCAAATTATTTAACCTCTCCAAGCATCAGTTTCTCACCTGTAAAATGACTTTGCATGGCTGCTGTAGAAATGGGAGATTATGTGTGAAAGTGCTTCCTACAGTACTGGGCACATAGTCATGGCAGCTGTTATTATTAAAAACAGGATATCTAGTCTAAGCTTCATAGGAATGCCTTCAGGGCAGAGACAAGATTAACAGTTTGGTGCTAATGTAAACTAGGTACTCAGAATTGAACACTGGGGAGTGAAGTGATGCAATATAGAAGAGATAGAAATATGTGTTTAAAGAATTTATTCAGTTATAATGCATCTAGTTTTTAAAGACTCAAGTCATTCTCCAGAATTTGTTATGAAAAACAAGCCGTCTCACACTCCGCCTTTCTTCTTCTCCGGAGACAAGCACCGTCACCTGTTTTACCTGATTCTTTAGATATTTACCTCTAAGTAACATGCTTGCATTGGTACTTCTTGAGTTTTCAGCTTCAGGCTTCATCTATTGACTCAATTATAGAAGATGAAGATTTAGCTTTCTTCTTCCTGACTCCCCGCTCCTCCTTCCAAACTGGTTATAATGTTGTATACATCAATATTCAGTGTTTATAATATTGTAACAATGTCAATACCATATACAGTAGCTGCACCATGTGAACATTATTTCTTTTTCTTTCCTGCTTAACTTTTTTGTCTCCCCTGGAGGTAACTGCCTTGAGCTTTTGTTTGCTTGGTGTTCTATGTACTTAACACTCACCCAACCCCCAAATCTGCATCAAATCTTTTTTCGAGCAATTTGTATGCACAGCGTTTGACCTCTTCTTGAGAAAGGCTGCCCCAGTGTCTCCCTGCCTGCTCCAGTCTGGGCTGAGGGCCTTGTCACCTGATACTTAGCTTTTTTACTTCCACCACCCTGGGATCCTTTTGCCTCTGTCCTATGTTGGATCTTCTTGTTCTTGCATCAGTGGCTTTTTTTTTTAAATTTTATAAGAATTAAATTATTTAAGCCAAACTGACAATTGCCAGGCAGCAAAATCTTGATGACTTGAGAAAATGCCAGTGGCGTTTCTTGATTTATTCTTTATTCTACCTTTAAATGTGATTCATCAAAGTTAGAGTTTTAGGTTAAAAATAATTTGCTTTTACAATTTTGAAAACCTGTTCCATTCCATCCAGCTTTCATGATATCGTTGAAAAGTTTAAAGCCATCTTGCTTTCTAGCTTCCAAAGTGGTCTCCTCTCCTGTTTTTATCCTTGCAGCCTTGTCTTAAAAACTAAAAATGAGGGGCTGGCCGAGTGGCTCAGTTGGTTAAGAGCTCGCTCAAGAGTGTGAGCTCTGAGCAACAGCAGTTCGAGTCCCATCCCGAGCTGAGCTGCCGCTGAGCTGCCAACATGGCAGGATGGCTCAGCCAAAAAAAAAAGTAAAAATGATAATTTTAGTGGGCATTTGAGAAGAAGCTCAATTAAATATGTGTCCAATGTACCATTTGTGACTGGAAATAATTTTAATTTTTTTCTTTAACCCTAGGTGGGCTATTTCTAGCTGTCTCTTTTACAGGTTCCCTCTGGCAACATGGCTGGCCTCTGTTAAGCTGGTTGTTCTTATCAAGCTACTAGCCTCCTTGGAATTGCTTACCACCAAAATCTCCATTGCTCTGCACAGCACCCTTAGGCTTACACTTTCGTTTCAAAGAAATCAGTTTACTTAGGGAGAACTCTAGAGCCCTCTGTTCCTGTGGCATGCCTCTTCTCCTGGAGCAAAATATCTGAGTCACTGTGGTGGAGCTGAGGGTGGATTCAGTGACCCATTTCTTCTAGAGCCACACCTCTTGCTTTCTGAGCATGGTGCTGAGTGGAGCAGTAATCTCTGGTGTTTTCAGCTTGCCTCTCCTTGCTTGGAACCTCCACCCTATGTCCTATGAACAAGCTCAGATAAAGGGGACCAGGGCTCCAGTCTTCCTGGACTGATGAGCCCCGGTGGAGCCTCTGTCCTCTGGCTGGCTGGGTGAGGGGAGGCCCTGACCTTGTAGTTGTACTTGCCTGGAATGTAGCCTCTGCAACATGGGGGTACGGACATGAGTTTGTGGGGGAGGGGTGGGTTGGGGGGGACAGTTTGATTCCCGTGTTCTTGGCCCCAAGTCATCGACCTCACCTCTCTTGCTGAGATTTAGTAGCTTTTTCTTGAATAAATGTTTCTTTACTTCTTGTATGTCCTTAGGACAATTTCCAGAGACTTTAAATCAGCGGTTCTCAACCTTTCACAGGGGTCGCCTAAGACCATCGGAAAACACATATTTTCGATGGTCTTAGGAACCGAGACATTGCTCCTCTATCCGTCTCCAGGCCCACATGCAGATATGCCCACATACGAGTACCCAGCGACCCCTGTGAAAGGGTTGTTCAACCCCCAAAGGGGTCACGACCCACAGGTTGAGAACTGCTGTTTTAAATGGTGTGCGTATGGCTTTTTGTTGTTGTTGTTGTTTTACCTGTTACGGTCTTCTCACTGGGGAGAGGTGGAGAAGTGCCTCAGGCTGCTGTCCTGAAACTGGATCTCTTTATTGGTTTTTAAAGAGAAAGTTTTAACAGCATAAAAATCTAAAGACTTTTAAATAGCAAAGAATATCATGAGCAAAGCTGAAAAGACACATTTCAGAAAATTACAAAGAAACCAATGGTTGTAAATGTCAAGTCCCTTAAATTATGTACTTTGAACTTAACTAATAAAAATACTGATAAGTTCACCTGGGGATATCTTTGTTGTTGTTGCTTAAGTTTTGTTTTTGTTTCTTAAAACTAATAAAAACCAATAAAAGTTTATTGAGGTAACCCTTAAGCTACTTTTATAGATTTCTAATAACAGATATATTGAAATGGGCTTTTTTAGTTGTCTGTTTCAAATATCTCTGCCTGGTTTTGCCAAACGGCAATGGTGGTTTAAATAGTTAAAAACAATACTTTTGTCATCTAATTGCAGGTTGTCCAATGAAATGGAAATAATGTATTACAATTAGATTAAAGCCATCTATATTTAAAAGCACTCTTAAGCATTAAAATGCTATCAAACATCAGTAAGAACAAAGACTCACTGAAGTAACGGCAGTTAAACTAGCGGTAAATCTAAACTACTTTTGTAAATTTATTTTTTATGATTACATCTAAATTACTTTTAAAGAGACAGAGAAAAAAATGGCTGTCCTACCGTGGTGGACATTCAGGGTTGGCTGCTTTGAAATCTGAATTGAACCTGACTGTTACCCTGGGTCCCCGTGGCCTCACGGCACAGCTCTTCTTTCTTTGGGAGGGGGACGCTGCCATCATGTGTGTGATCTTCTCGAAAGAGAGAAGGTAAACTTTCCATCTGCAGCAAGGGTTCAGTCAGAGATTTTAAGGGCTCCCTTCATCATGTATAGCCTGTTTCATTCATGTGTGTTACTTTTCAAGCCTCCTTTTTTTTCCTGGTCCCTCAGTTCCTGCACTCTTTCTATCCCCCATCGTCTTGGGAAAGCAGGTGTAGTCCAAACCATCCATTTATTTCTCTCTAAAGTTTTCCGACATTTTTTGTTTTCTCCTGAGGTGACTTTGGCATTAGTTAGTTGGGATTGGAAGGATTTGGACCCATCTTTAACTAATCCTGTCTGTCTTTGAAGATGATTCGTTATCACATGATGTGACAGTTTAGGGAGCTCGTTTTTCTATTTGCTTTTTTTTAAAGAAATTTTTATTGGGGAACAGCGTGCTTTTCCAGGACCCATCAGCTCCAAGTCAAGCAGTTGTCTTCAATCTAGTTGTAGAGGGCACAGCTCTGTGGCCCATGTGGGAATCGAACCGGCAACTTTGGCATTATGAGCCTGCGCTTTAACCACCTGAGCTATAACCGGCCACCTCTCTATTTGGTTTTGAGAGGCCTACTGCATCCTCAAGGGAAGAGGTGGACCCATTCATAGTTCTATTAAGTGCTGCCAAACGTGGAGTTTGTACCTTCGGGGAACTGGCCCCTATGACAGATGACTTGAAGGCTTTATACGGCTGTGTAAACTCTCTCATCTTTTCACTGACACAACAATATTCTTCAACCAGGGCAGACAGACATTTAGCTCGCTCTTTATTCCTCCTTAAAGTATGGTGGCTTCTTACTAACAGTAAATAAATAGTTAAAATTCAAAGCGGCACAAACAGAAGGGAAACCCACAGGGCTTTGCTTCAAGCAGTCAGAAACCCCACTACAGCACAAGGACCAGCTGGACAGATATTTTGGTGGCGGTCCCCAGGCCCTCCCTGGCTTTGAAGGCACTGAAACTCGGCCACTGGTGGTGAGTGTCCTGTGGGCCACTGCTGTCTGCTTGGAACCCCGTGGACTGCTGTACTTGTAAAACAAACAAGTGCCCGACAACCAGGCCAGACCAGCAGTGGGGTGGGGCAAGTGCGGCCTGGCTGAATAAAACATTACACTCCAGCTTTGTTCTGTTCACGGCTGCACACGTAGGAAGTGATGCTATTTGTACTGTGCGTTGGGGGGGGGTAACAGAAAGGGCTGATTGTGGCCGGAGGAGACTAGCCCAGGAGCTCTGGCCCCTTTAGGCCCCACCTGACTCTACACAAAGCTATGGAATTAAAGTAGCATCATGCTGGAACCCATTCTCTGCACACAGCATGTGAGGGCACAATGCTGAGACATGCTGCATTCAAGGACCCACATGCCCACGTTCCTGGGTGAGGCTCCTTCTTCTGATCTGAAGTTTCCTTCTGTAGCATGGAAGCCTGATTCCAAAGGTTCCAGGGAACTCCCGGCAGGCCCGGCTGAGCCTGTGTTTGGACAGTGCAGACAGGCTGGGTCAGAGACATGAAGGTCCTCACCAAAGGTATTACCTCACTGATCTGGACTTCAGCTACAAGAACTCAGGAGATCGCAAGAGGACTTGTTGATGTCTTAACCTTTCATCTATTTTCAGGGGAGCCTGGTCATAGTCCGAGTGTTCTCAGATGGCATGACTCATTGGCCCAGGCTCCTCCTAGCATGGGGCCCTGCCATCGTCACCGTAAGGTCATCTTTAGAACTGTGGTTCTCTCTGAAGAGGGGCTATAGCATTCTCTCAGTTGAATTTGCCATCTTTTGTGTCTTTCACTAAAATCTCACTCTTCGAGGATCTCTCTAGGAGACTCAGGCCTGGGCCCAGAGCCTTTTTTTTTTTTTTTGTCTATCACCTAGGACTCCGCCATGAGCAAGTCTCTCCACACAGCCTCTAGAAGAAAGGGTAGAACAGTCAGCAGAGGCTGGTCTGGAAATCCTGGGTAGGGGTGGGGGTGGGGAAGGGGTCCCACGGTTTGGGCCAATGGTTCACCTATGAATGTGGAGAATAGAGGCTCTTACCAGGGTTGGTGGTAAGGGTTGAAGATGGTCAAATTTTTGCTCAAGTTTGTTGTTTCTTTATTTGATCAGTTTCTTTGTTTATGATGTGTTTACTTGAAAGAGAAATTGCCAATTAAAGAGTTTAACATGTTTCTGAAAGTAAAGAATTCAGCCATGGTACAGAAGACCTTTGTTTTGGAAAAAAATGACTAAAGTAAACCCTTTTTATATGCAGAAAGGGTGCTCACCCTTCTGGGATACACACAAAATATAGCTTTTTTTTTGGAGGTGGTACTAGGCATCATTAATGTACTTTAATGTACCTCTCCTACCTGATCTTCATTCTCCTCAGCCTCATCCTGTAATGGACGCCATTGCTGACCTGCGATTCTAGGCTGTGTTGCCTCTGTTTTCTTACTTACTGTAGCCATCTCGACATACCTGTTTCTCTGCAGTGTTGTTCAGGAATCTCCCCAGTGCTCACTGTGTCATGAATGACACACTGTGAGATGTTTCAGCTGCTTCCACAGGAATAAATGGCTAGAGGTGTACATCCCTCACCTTGAGAGGAAACTGCACTTATACTCTTGTACATTTCTGCTGAATTTTGAGGAGTCAAAGGATGACTTTAAACCATAATCTCTGCGTTTGAGTGCCATTTTGTGCCACACTGTTGTTCCACGCAATTAGCATCTTTTAATATATCATTTTTTTCTAATTGTTGGAGGTACACATCTTAGCACTTTACTATGAACTATCTTAGTCTGGAATTATTTTAGCCATGTGTGTTTTAGATGTACAATTATACAGCAATCTAGCGGGGGAGAAATGTCTTTTATATCACCAGTGGTTTCTAACACTACAGAAATTCAGGAAATGATTGACTGACTGACTGATTCATTGAAGCGTCTAGTCGGGACTTAAAGTCAGTGATAGTACAGGTCATTCCTTCCCGTGTTCTTAGTTTTTTTGGTGTTGTACGAATAAGTAATTTGGGCAGAAATCCAAAGTTCAGAGATTTTTTTTTTCCCCCCGTCTTGACAAAAGTTAAATATAAATACCTAAACAATTTAAAATTTTCTATGTTGCCTCTGGATTTCTTTTTTCTATCTCTGAAAGGTGCTTCCACTGAAGAAGGTGGGGGATTTAGAATTTGTAGTTTAGTATATGCAAATTCATGTATAGGGGGAGGAATAGTGAGAGAGGGCTGGGAAGGGCTTCTCTTTTTCTTTTTAATATGCAAGCATATGTCGTCTTTCATCTACAGTTTTCAGAGCAGCATAAAGCTAGATTATTTATGCCTTTGGAACTTCAAATGGAAGGGGGTTGTCCACCATTCCTGTTTGGTTGCTCTTCCTTACTCTTATCCTTGGACAGGAAGGCTTTCTGCATAGAGTTTTGCTGGTTGGATTCTTTGGCTAGAAGACTCTTGCCTTTGATAATATTCTTGTCCTTCTCAAAACATGAGGAAGTAGTTTCCCATCTGCTGTTGACAGGTTTCACGTCTTTCGTCTTTATGGCTTTGATTCGAGAACAGTTTTTCCTCTCCTTGTTTCCTTTGGGCCGTGACAAACTTTCAAATGACTTCTGGGATACTGACTTGCACCATTCTGAAGAGCTTACCATTAGATTCCTTTGGCTTATAAGCGGGGGAGGTCTAGGTGGTGCCCAAAATGTCCTGTATGCCTTCTTGTTTACGTAAGTAGCTGGATGCAGTCTAGGGAAGAAATAAAATGTATGAGTTTTTGCCCAACACGTACCATAGGTATCTATAGTCCTTAGGTATTTGTCACAGTGTAAGTCTATTTTTTTCCTTTGCATTCATCCTCCCTTAAGACTTTTGCCATTATGTCTATGAGAATAACTGAAGTCTTCATCACTAGTCATGATTTTCAGTATTACTCTGATTCTGTATTTCTAAACCCCTGGAGGGTATGTTTATTTGGATACCTGCCCTGACCCTAGGCTTCCTGATATAGTGGTTACTCTGGGCCGCTGCGCCTTACCCTTATACATCCAGTGCAAGTAAATATTCCCTAAAATTTCACTTAGTTCGAAAATCTACTTTGTTTATTTTATTAGAATGAACTCAGTATAAATACTATTTTAAAAATAGTCAGTAAAAAGATCAATATAAACCCAAGAGAGGGAAGTTTTCCTCATGAGACAGAGGCTTTTATAAAACTATTATTTGGAGCCACTTAACATCTCTGAGTTTTCTTTAGAATTCCATTTTTTTTAACCGCAAAATCTCAACTATATTTTTAATTAAAATTTTAATTTTGAGATAACTATAGACTCATCTGCAGTTGGAAGAAATAATACAGAGAGATTCCAGGGACCCTTCACCCAGTCTCCCCCAAATGTAATATCTTGCAAACCTATAGTTGCAAGTAGAATAACGTAATCAGGATTTTGCCATTGATTTATCAGGGTACAGGAGAGTTCCCTCATGTATTCCTTTTATAGATACGCCTACTTTCCTCCTCGCCCTTGCCCTCCTTAACTCCTGGCAATCATTAACCTATTGCCTGAATTAGGTAGTTTTGTTATTTCAAGAATGTTATATAAATGGAATCATACTGTATGCCACCTTTTGGGATTGGCTTTTGTCACGTAGTGAACTTCCCTGGAGGCTGATGCAGGTTGTTTTGTGTAACAGTAGGTCACTCTTTTATTATTGCTGAGTAGCAGTTCAGGGCATGGATGTAGCACCGTTTGTTTAATCATTCATTCCCTGAAGGACAGGTGGGTTGTTTCTAGTTTATGCGTTTTGCAAATAAAGCTGCTATAAACATTTGTGTACCGGTTTTTGTGTGACCATAAGTCTTCACCTCTTATGGTCAGGAGAGCAATTGCAGGGCCATAGGGTAGTTGTGTATGTGGTGTTTTTTTTTTTAAGAAACTGTGAAACTGTTTTCCAGAGTGACTGTACAATTTTACATTCCCCCCAGCAATATATGAGTGATCTGATTTCTTTGCATCTTCATCAGCAGCGTTATGAGTATTTTTTTATTTTAGCCATTCTGACAGGTGTGTAGTTATCTCATTGTGGTTTTAATCTGCATTTTGATAATGACTAATCATGTGGAACATCTTTTTGTCTGGTTATTCCATTTGGTGAAATGTCTATTCATGTCCTTTGCCCATTTTCCAAATGAAATATTCGTTTTCTTACTGTTAAATTTTGAGACCTCTTTAATCTAGATACTAGTCTCTTGTTTATGTGGCTTGCAAATATTTTCTCCTATTTTATAGCTTGTCTCCTTATCCTCTTAACAGGGTCTTTTGAAGGGCAAACACTGTTATTTTGATGAAGTCCAATTTATCAACTTTTATGTATGGATTATGCTTTTGGTGTAAAGTATAACTTTTTGCCCACTCTAGGTCATGAAGATTTTCTATTCTTTTCTAAAAGTTTCATAGATTTGTGTTGTACAACTAAAGTCCATGATACATTTTGAGTTTATGTTTATTTTTCTGTATAAGATATAAATTTAGGTCAAGGTTCATTGTCTTGGTCTATGGATTTCTAACTGTTCCAGCAACATTGGTTTAAAATGCTCTTTCCTCCACTGAATTGCTTTTATACTTTTGTCAAAATTAGTCAAGCATACTTGGATGGGTCTATTTCTGGGTTCTCTATTTGGCTCTATTGATATATATGTCTATTCCTCCTCCAGTACTATACTGTTGATTACAGTAGCTATAAAAGGTGTTAAAATCAGATAGGCTGATTCTCTTCTACTTTGTCCTTCTTTTTCAAAATTGTTTGATTCTTTTTTCCTTTGGCTCTTATAAACGATAGTGAAATGAATATTGCTACAGAAATCTTGAGCCCTTACCTAGGATTTTTTTCTCTCAATTTTTAGAAGTGCCATTTCTTATCAAAATGAATGTAGGTATTAAGGATTTTAAATTTATATTATTGGACTGTCTTCCAGAAACCCTGTACCAGTTTATATTCCAATAATTAGTGAATGAATTCTTCATCGAGAGGCAAAAATAAATAGTATTTCATTATTGTTTTAATTTGCACTCTTTGGATTTGAGATTGAACATTTAAAAATGGTCATTGACCATGTTTTGTGTGTGTGTGTGTGTGTGTGTGTGTGAATTTCTGGTTCATAGCGTTTGCCCATTTTCCTATTAAAATATTCATAATTTTGTCATTGATGTGTAGGCTATCTTGGAATACTAAGTATACTGGTCCTCTGTTTTTCATTTATATTATAAAGAGAAATGTGATGAAGTATAGTGATGAAGGACTCTGGAGGCACCATATGTAGTTGCTGTTGATTCCAATTCAGCTGGCTATTGGTTGCTGGCTATTGGTTGCTGGCTATTGGTTGCTGGCTATTGGTTGCTGGCTATTGGTTGCTGGCTATTGGTTGCTGGCTATTGGTTGCGTGGTCTTGGACAAATTACTAACCCCTTTGTACCTCAATTTCCCCAAGTGTAGCATGTAAAATGTGTGTGTGTGTGTGTGTGTGTGTGTGTGTGTGTAACATAGGACAGAGCCTAGCACATTATCAAAATTTGTTGATAATATTAGTATTATATTTATTATTATCTGCTTGTCATTGTCTTACTTTTATTCATATGGGTTTTCTTTCGGCCTTAGCGTTGGTTCTATTTTTTTTTTTTTCATCTTTAAAAGAAATCTGGTTTCATCCTTTCTGCTTTTCTCTGAGTATCAATAAGCTGAAGTAACTCAAGTTAATTAACTTATTTCTAATTCTGGTTGCCCCCTAGGACTATCAGGTTTAAACACACCTGAGAAATTTCAAGTCAGGCTATGGGCACACTTTATTGATGCATACTTTATTCATAGATTCAAATTAATGAGTGGTTTCATGCAAATAAACAACTCAATAAGGCCTAGTAACTTTCCCCTTCACATATCCAATGTTTTCTTATGGCTTTGGGCCTTTGTCCCTTTGTCACATGTGGTATAACTGCCACCATTTTTAAGAGCCTGTTTGTTTCTTAGGATAATGAATTAATAAGCCTTGCTTCCTTAAAACAAGAATGTATTAAATAGCTAAGACAGACAAAATGGTGTTGACTTACTGACGCTGGATTTGGAAGTTGGTTCTTGGATTGAATATCAGTTTTATCTGTCTGGTTGGCATGTTTTTAGTGCTTTCCACGATAGGCAACATACACTGCAATATTTCTTCAGTTTGAGCTATTCTTTTATCCCTGTAGATTCTTTTTTCATCATCTGTCCAATTCACATCAGTCTTCTTGCTTTGGAAAGATGTACATTCTTCCATTTTGCTTTTTAGGCTGTGATGCAGATCTGGTGTGGAGAGGGAGCAACCACAAAAACATGTATAGATATATGGCTGACTTGATTCAACAATTATTTATTGAGCATCATGTGCTGAGGATTCTATCTAAAAATGCTTACATATCTAAAGCTTATGCTTTCATTACAGGGGCAGCAAATAAACAAGTAAAATATAATACTATGTTAGATAATGATAAAGGTGATGGGATAAAATAAAGCTGGAGAAGGGGATAGCGAAGTCTTGGGGGAAAGGTTAATTTCCATTTTTAAAAAGGTGTTCAGAGAAGGCCTCCCTGTGAAGCTAGTGTGTCAAAGGAGTTCGGGGGTGAGCCATCAGCTTTCAGAGGAAAGAGCATCTTGGCGAGGGGAATAGTAAGAGTCGCGGCCCTGAGCTAGGAGCGTGGTAGTGTGTTCAAGGAATATCAACATGGCGCAATGGCTAAAGGAGAACGAACCAAGGGGAAAGAGATAAGAACTCAGATAGGTAACTTGGATTTAGTTCACATAGAGCCTCACAGGCCATCGTAAGGACTTCGATTGTTCCTGAATGTGAAATGGGGAGTAACTAGAAGGCTTGGAGCAGAGGAGTGTGAGTGTCACATATGAAATTTGTTTTACTAGGGTCATGCTGGTTGCTGAGTTGAGAGCCGATTGAATAGGGGCAAGGTTGGACCAGCAGGGAGATCTCTTGGAAGGCTATTGAAATAACCCAAGAGACAAGATGATAGCTTGGACCAGGGTGGTGGCAGCAGTGGCCAGAAGGGCGAGGTGTGTGTGTGTGTGTGTGTGTGTGTGTGTGTGTGTGTGTGTGTGTTTTCCTGGATATATTTTGGAATTTTCTAATGAATTAGATGTGGGGTGAGAGAAGAAGAGAAGAATTGGTGGTGGCTGCAAAGCTTCTGATTTGAGAAAATGAAAGGATGCAGATATGAGGAAAACTATGGAAAGAGCATGTTAAAGAGTCCTTTATTAGATGATATGAAGGAAGTATTGTTTATTTTGTTAACTGTGATAATAAAAGTATAACATTAAAAAAAAAAGTTTATCAAACTGCCCTAAAAGTAAAGTCTACTTAAAAAGTATGTATTCCACTACACATCTATTAGGATTGCTACTATCAAAAACCCCAGAAAATAATAAGCATTGGCAAGGGTATGGAAAAATTAGAACCCTTGTTCACTGTTGGTGGGAATGTAAAATGGTGTAGCTGCTGTGGAAAACAGTATGATGGTTCCTCAAAAAATTAAAACTAGAACTACCATATAATCCAGCAATTCCACTTCTGGGTATATGCGCCAAAGAATTGAAAGCAGAGTCTCAAAGAGTTATTCGTACATCCGTTCATAGCAGCGTTACTCACAATAGCCAAAAGGTGGAAATTCAGGGGCCCACTGATGAATACATGGATAAACAAAATGTGGTACATACATATAATGGAATAGCGTTCAGCCTTAAAAAGGGGAAAACACCCTCTGATACCTGCTACATCATAAATGAACCTCGAAGACATTATGCTAAGTGAAATAAGATAGTCACAAAAAGACAAATATTTGATTCCACTAATAAGAGCTACCGAGAACAGTCCAAGTTGTAGAAAGAGAAAGTAGGAAAGTTGCCAAGGGCCTGGGGGAGGGAGGAACGGGGAGTTATTGTTTAATGGGTAAGGAGTTTCAGTTTTGCAAGATGAAACGAGTTCTGGAGATTGTGTACACAACAATATGAAGGTACGTAACACTGAACTTTATACTTAAAAATAGATAAGATGGTAAATTTTATGTTATGTGCATTTGAACACAATTTAAAATATCAATATACATAGGAAGAGAGAGGGGTAAACAAACAAACAAACAAACAAAAAAACCTGAGTAAAGCCTGAAGGAAGAATAGCAGACATCTTAAAGGATGTGGCAGGAGTGCTTCTATTGGGTCGTCGGGAAAGTCGTGACGCATTTTTTGCATTGAAAAACATAGAAAAATACATCATGACTCTCCCGACGACCCAATAATTATAATGCCTGAATTGGTATATAGACAGCATAAGAAAAAGTAGAATACGCGTAGAATAAAAGCAAGAGCTACATTATCCTTTGGAAAAAAATGTTTATCTAATTAAGAGATACACATTGAACTATCATATTTATGGACAAAATGATATGATTTGCTGAATTTGCTTTAAATACTTTAGCAAAAAAAAGGGGGGTGGGAATATAGATGAAAAGAGAAATGCAGGATGCTGATAACTATTAATGGTGGGTGATGAGCACCTGTGGGTTCATTATTCTATTTTCTCTACTTTTGTTTATGTTTGAAATTTCTACAACACAGCTGTTTATTTCTTTTTCTTTTTCTTTTTTTAAAAAGGAACTGGCCATTGTTCAAGAGAAAGGAAACAGGAGACTTAAGTACTTACTGAACGAAGCTGGACTTGAAAGATAATGAATGAGGGTGTGGGGTGATTACGTAGCAGTCTGACAATACTGGCAAATGAAATGAACTTTCTGCAATTTCTTGACACACCATTCCCAGGCCATTCAACAAACCTTCACTGAAGGATTATTATGTATCTGGCGTTATGTTTGGTTTGGTAAATAGGAATGAAAAATATAGCCCTTGACCTTTAATAGGCTAACAGTTAGGACTAGAGAGAAAAGTAAAGCATCACCGAGAATGTCTGAGCATGGAGATAAGGCAGGTACTTACTATAGGATTGCAGAAGGGAGACCTCAAGCCATACTTAGGGATGGATAATAAAAGCTTCCTAATTCCTCATTAACCTGAGTCTTGGTGAATAAGTACAAATCGTCTAAGTCAGCGGTTCTCAACCTTCCTATTGCAGCGACCCATAAATACAGTTCCTCATGTTGTGGTGACCCCCAACCATAAAATTATTTTTGTTGCTACTCTATAACTATAATTTTGCTACTGTTATGAATCGTAATGTAAGTATCTTTTTGTTTTCCGATGGTCTTAGGTGACCCCTGTGAAAGGGTCGTTCGACCCCCAAAGGGGTCGCGACCCACAGGTTGAAAACCACTGGTCTAAGTGAAAAAAAAAATAGGGTCATAATCTAGGTAGTGGGACTAACATGGCACATTCAGGAAATCACAAGTATGGTTTAGAATGACTAGAATATCAGGTAGGAGTGAAAAAAGGGTTCCAACCGAGAGGCCATGTTTGTAATAATAATACTTTTGAGAAATTTTCTGAAATAGGAATGATTTCTGATGGGTAGATGTTTACTGATATTTGAATCGAGTTATTAGGGAGCCATTGAAGACTGTACGCAAGGAAGTGATATAATCAGATCTGCATCTTTTTGAAAGATCATGCTGGCAGCCTGGAGAATGACGGGCTGAAGAACAGTGGGACTTGGGGCAGAGGGACAAGTTAGGAGGTTAACGCTGCAATTCAAGGGAGGCAGAAAGAGAGTCTGAGCAAAAAGAACAGCAGTGTAAAGAAGAGAAGCAGTCAAGAGAATCGTCGGGAGTAGAATGGATAGAGCTTCTCATTATTGGATATGAAAAACAGAGACGCAAAAGATCAGGCTATGTCTTGGGTTGTTCCTTAGATACTGGGTGATGTCAGTTTACTAAGTGAGGCATGGAATGCAGGTGTGGATGCCATGACTTCCGGGTGTGGCTGACTACAAAACTGGGTACTGCAAAACAATTTGAAAACTATTTTGCAAACTATTTTGAAAAATAAGTTTGTGTTCACCCAACGCCAAAAGAAAAATGACATAGATGCAAAACTATCTCCCAGGATTTATGATGAATTTACTCCTCTACTCTCCTCAGCTGAACCTCAGTATTTGTACTATAGCTCAACAATAACTATAAACTCATCCAGAACTTAAGAAGCCTGACTGGACCTTTCACTCATCTCAGGCAGAATTCATCTCATTTCCTACTTGGTAAATTCAAGAATGAAAAAGGACAGACTTCTTTCTGTAAGGAATTCAGTGATAATGAAGATAAGACATTTTAGAGGAAAAGTTATAGCCCTAAATGCATATATTATAAAGAAAGGAAGCCATGCCTAAGAAAAAAAATAGAGCTCACTCTGAAATGATTTACTTCAGTAAAAAATGGAATTGTAGAATGTTTATTAGTAGGTCATAAAGATTCACTAGGACATATGTGTATAAGATAATGTAATCAAGAAGAAATGAGACTCAGCTCAGGAAAGACTGAATAAGATTAAGAAACAATTTTTAAATTAAGCATGTGGTAAAAGCAGTGGGGAATGTTTAAAAAAAAAAATCTCCCTTTGCAGCGAAATTCCATGAATACTACCTGTCTCCAACTTCTCTCATCCTATTGGGTTGTCGGAAAAGTCATGACGTATTTTTTATCTGTTTTTCGTTGCAAAAATGCGTCATGACTTTTCCGACAACCCAATACTTCAAAATACACTTTAAGTAGATTTGTACCTCGATCATTCTATACTACATCCCCCTTATCCACGGATGATACCAAGACCCAAGTGGATGCCTGAAACTGGGGATAGTACCAAGCTCCGTATATATTATGTTTTTTCCTCTGCATACATACCTATGACAAAGTTTAATTTATATATCAGGTAGGGTAAAAGACTAACACTAACTAATAATAAAATAAAACATAACAAATGCTATAATAAAAGCTATGTGAATGTGGTCTCTCTCTCTCTCTCTCTCTCTCTCCCTCCCTCCCTCTCTCTGTCTCTCTCTCTCTCTCTCTGATAACTGATCTGATAACTGGGAAGGCTACTAAGTGAATAACGGGCGAAGAGCACATATAAATGGACAAACTGGACAAACAGATGATTCATGTCCTGGGCAGGACAGAGGGAGACAGTGTGAGATTTCATCACACTATTCAGAATTGTTATTTCTGGAAATGTTCCATTTAATATTTTAGGACTACAGTTGACTGAAACTGGAAAAGGAAACCAGGAATATGGGGGCAATACTGTACTGACATTTCTCTGACCAAGATCCCCAACAAAACCTCCATGTTGTAAAATCCAATAGTAAATCCATCTCACTTGACGTATCAGAAGCATGTATTGATGATGATACAGTGAAAGCCACCTTTGTATTTATTAAAATCCTAAACCGTAAAAAACCCCCAAAAATCGAAAAACCTTCTGTTGGTATCCTTGTCTTCTCAGTCCAATTGGGAGTTTGTTCGCTCATCGCACACTTCAAGGACGTTACTTTGAAGCAGTTTCCATACAACTCAGTGCTGGCGGGCTGAATTAGTCCCAGGATTGGTCTCTTATCAGCTTCTGAAAAATGTCTTGGTTGGTCTTTGCCAAGCTTCTGAATCACACTTTGGGAGCTGAAAGAAATTATTATGGCTGCTCTGATTTCAATGTCAACAGTGAACTATCTAATCAAGAGGAATGTAGTAGTACTATATTATATTTGTATAGTGTATTTGTATATTTGCACTTCACAGCACGCAAAGTATTCTGACACATATTAGCCTATGAGGGCTCTCACCAGTCCTGTGATAGAAACAGGAAGGCCAATGTTATGGCCATCTCACATCAGCGAGGGAAGATAAGGAACGGTAGGGAATTAGAAAGGTTAAGCTATTTGCTCTAGATCCAAAAGCTAATAAGAGGGAGGGGCAGGTCTAGAATTCACATCTTCTAACCTCAGTATTTTTTCTAGTACTGTCTCTTATCTTCATATAGCATTTGATTTCTTTCCATACAGGTGATAAGTAACATCTTGACAAAAATTAAGCCTTAGTTGAAATCAATTCTAGATCTGAGTACAGGTATGCCCAAGATGATGTCTTACCTAGTTTTTTATGTTTTGGGGGCAGAAGATTCTATGTATTTCAAGAGAACCCATTGTAGTGTGCAGAGACCAAGTTCTTAGAATGGAGGCCCAGGAAGGAAGAACGGGCATACCACGTTTCTCTGTTGTACAAATTCAGTCTGTTCTCAAAGACTTATCTGTCCATGGTTCAGGTGGTTAATATTATTCCTTACGACAGGGCAACTTGCCAAGGGAGCTAGTGATATAGTAATTACCGGTTGTGACACAACTATAAAGTTCATCCATGTTATCCCTACTTCTCTTGCTATTCCTTTTCCAGTTTTTAGGTAGTAGTATTATGCCTATGTGACCAACGCTCCGATTGCTATTACAGATAGCAAAACATTTGATAGTCATGCACTCTAAAGTGCTAAATAATTATCGTATGCCAGAAATATTTCTTTTTAGATCGAGAAGCTCAGATAATGCAGTGAGATAAAGGTATAGGCGTAAATGTCTGACTGTAGATTTTAAGGCATCCATTGGGGATAGTTTGGGGATATTGACACCTCAGAGTTTTTCTGTGTGTTTTTTTGGTTTTTTTTTTTAGCTGAGCCATCCTGCCACCTGTTGGCAGCTCAGTGGCAGCTAGCTCAGGCCAGGACTCGAACCGCTGTTGTTCAGAGCTCAAACTCTTGAGCGAGCTCTTAACCAACTGAGCCACTCAGCTGGCCTTACCTTGGAGCTTTTTAAACCTATCATATGGGCACTCCTATATATAAAACTAACCTCGTCACAGATACTATGTAGAATAGAAGGAGATACCCGATTAACAATTGTTATAAAAAAAAGTCACTTTTACCTGTTGCTTTAATTCAAACTCAAAAATCTTTAAGACAGAGGGAAAGGAGTAAGGTAGTAGTTCTCCTACCTCAAGCATCTTTTCAGAAGCCAAGGAGGGGCTTGTCCAGGTATTTTCTCTAAAAAAGAGAATATATCATAAAATTTCTGAACCCAGATTTTTAAGATTAACAAAACATACTTTTTTACGTTCTCGATAATTACCTTATTCATATATTTAACGACTAGCTTCATTGAGCTTATCTTTAATTAATGTGCCATTGTCTCATTCTGACATATGAAATGTGTTAGTAAATATCACCCCTGGAAGCCTTTTAACTAAATTCTTTTAACAGAATAGCAAACAGTAGAAATACCTATCCAATAATTGTCAAACAATTCAGAACTGAATATACAGAGGGTGCCAAAAAAACATATACACATTTTAAGAAAGGAAAACTGTATCAAAATTGTAATACTCAATATATGCCGATAACAAAAGATGAATACAAGTCCCGTTTGACTTCTGCAATTACAAGAGGTGCTCAAAGTGGTTACTCTCAGTGCCCAGGCACTTCTGATTACAGTGAACTACTGCTTGAGCCACGTTGACCAAAGTTTCCACTTGTGTACATTTTTTTGGCACCCCTGGTATGTTATGTTAGGCCTATGAAGGATACCTATGTGCATAGTAGGGTGACTAACTTTTTAGTGAGCCAACCCAGGACACAACCATACCAGACCAAAAAAATAGTATAACGTGTAACAAATAATTATACACAAACGTATTACGATTTTCACATAAAATATAAAATAGGTGTTTATTTAAAATTACATATTCTTCGGTATTTGCTTTTATGATATATAAATGCTTTTAAGCCAAACAAAAGGACTAGTTAACAGTGGTAATCAGTAGTGATTAACAGAACAAATTAAATAAACAGTATGGGAGAATAATATAACAGTATATTTGTGTCTTTCCTCTTCATTGGACATTTAAATTTTATAACCCATATTATTTTGTTATCTTGAGCCAGATAAATATAAGACCTTTTCAAAGTGGAATGTAAACACAGTGGGGCAACTAAATAGATATTACCCCTATTTGATAAAACTTATCAGGACATGTACTTTATGTCTCGTGATAAAGTGCTGTGTTTTTGCGCTGTGTTTCCTTTCCCAGTAATACTCTCGGAGCTGCCTGCAGCCTTCTTATCTTTATGGACTGGTAAAAAACAGAACACAATCAAAATCAAGTTCTGTTTGACTTGCAGATCTCCTCTTTGCACACCCACACGACACGACACGGATCCCTGGTGGCCGTCCAACACAGCGATATCAAGTTAGATATCCTGTCAACAAAGGACTCTGACCCGGGAATGGCAGGTGTCTAGACTTGTAGGGAATTACTTTCCAGCTCTGCAAAAATGTCCACCCACTTTGTATCTAAAGACTCGTTTTAGTAGTCTACCTTTTTGGCATTCAGGCCCTTTGCATCTTTCCTTTTTTAAAATTTTATTAAATGTATTGGGATGATATTGGTTAATAAAATTATATAGGTTTCAAGTCTGTAACTCTATAATACATCATCTATATGTTGCATTGTGGGCTCACCACCCAAAGTCACATCTCCTTCCGTCATCGTATATTTGATCCCCTTTCACCTTTTTCTACCTCCTCCCCCCACCCACCCCCTTCCCTCTGGTAACCACTATACTGTTGTCTGTGTCTATGAATTTTTGTTTGTCTTGTTCATCTGTTGCTTTAAGTTTTATATCCCACATGAGTGAAATCAGATGGTTCTCAACTTTTGTCATTTCGCTAAAGCACACAGATAATCTGAACTTAAATTGAAGGTGGATTTCAAATAAAGTTTTTAGTGTTGTTTAACTTGCTGCCCAAACTTTCTGGTGACATATTTTTGAAATCTGAGTCGGTCTGATTTACCCCAGAATGTAATTTTTTCCACTGTGTGAGTTTTTGTCATAATCTGAACAGAATACCGAACAACTGAGGCACAGTTAATTCATCCTGTTCTATACTCCTTATGGCCTCTTCAAAGATCACCGAACAGTTTTAGAGAAACAGTTTTATTTTCTGTTTTCCTCCATATCTAGCATAATCATTGAATAGTATAACTTGAGACCTCTGGGAAGCGGATGAACATCAGATTTTTAAAAGAATGTGAACAAAGACAGAAAGGAGATTTTGTAACAAAGACTGAATATAAGAGAGTGGCCGAAACACAGAACAATAGTCTCAGTAACGTTAAAATATCAAATGAACTAAGATATGAAGAAAGAATGTTTAGATTTGTTCTGCTGGGATTATTTAAAAATACCGATGGGTGACAAACAGCAGAATCCCTCAGCTCTTAAGCTGCTTCTGTCTTTTCCATCAAAAAGAGTTTTCTTCTGACTAGAAAGGGGGTGAAGGGTAGAATAAACATTAGTAAGAGATTACAGAAGTCAAAAGGCTGTGAATGAATTATCTATAGTCCCAGACATATAACATGTTAAGTAAGGAAAGAATGTGTGTATAAGATCACAAAACCATTGAGAACAATCTTTTAAGAATTCAAGGAATTGACTCTCTTCTCCTTGTTAAGGGCCTAACTTGTCAGTTAAGATTCCATCATCATTTAAGGATCAATTCTTTCAAGAAAACTTTCTCTGAGGTGTCCAGGCTGGATTCGATCCCCCTCTGAGTAATGAGAGCAATTTCTGAATATCATTATCCCTCAATCTATCTCACTCTTACTGTAATGAACTGTATATGAGTCTTATTAAACTTTGATACCTACTCCTTAAATGAGTAGCTAATCTAGTTGAAGAAAGGGAGGATTACATTTCAGGCAGAGAAGACGCCATAGGCAAATGCAAGGACGTGAGAAGGCTGATGTTTTTCTTTCTTTTTTTTTTTTTTAAAGAATGTATTGGGGAATGGGGGAAAGGGAACAGTGTTGGGGAATTGGGGAAGGGAAACAGCCAAGTTGTTGTCCTTCAATCTTGGTTGTGGAGGGCGCAGCTAGCTCAGCTCCAAGTTCAGTCACCACCAGGCCGCCTGTCGGCAGCTCGCGGCCGCTCAGCTCAAGGTGCCATGTTCAATCTTAGTTGTGGGGCGGGGCGCAGTCCACCATCCCATGCAGGAGTCGAACTGGCAACCTTGTTGTTAGGAGCATGTGCTCTCCCAGCTAAGCCATCCTGCCACCTGTTCGTAGCTCAGCGACAGCTCAGCTCAGGCACAGCTCACTGGCCCATGTGGGAATCGAACCGGTGACCCTGTTGCTCAGAGCTCGTGCTCTTAACTGACTGAGCTACTCGGCCGGCTCCAAGGCTGATGTATTTTGAGGCTACAGGAAGATCATCTTTACTAAGGTGTTAAGAGGAAAGCAAGAAAGAAAGCTGGAGAGTTGCTAGAGGTCAGTTCACTGCAGTCTCGTACGTCACATTAGAGAACTTGGTTTCTATACTGCAGTAGTCGTAAAAAAAATTTTTTTTTTTAAAGTAACAGACCATTATTGAAAATAAAGTTGTACAGAAAGCTACTCAGGATGAATAAGGGTTGGATGGCCCCAAATGCTGGGCCTCCCATCACCTCTCACTATAGCCCCCAAAGTGGTGAGTTGCAAAGCATGGTCTGCAGATGACCAATAGCAGAATTATCTGAGGTACCTGATAAGAAACGCAGAACCAGGGGTTGACAAGAAAGACCAACTCAGAATCAGAAGCTGGTGCTTTCATGAGCTCCTCAAGTCATTCTTGTGTACACTAAAAATTTAAAACCAGACATTCTATAAGAAATCTGGTCCATAATCTTCAAAAATGCCAGTATTGTGAATGATGAAAGGCTGAGCAGCTGTTGCAAATTAAAAGAGAATAAAGGAATATGGCAATTAAATGCAATTCATGATCTTGAATCAGGGAGAAGTTTTGCTCTAAAGGACATTGTTGGTACATTTGGCAAAATTTAACGATAGTATGATAGAAAATAGTATTGTATCAAAATTGAATTTCCTGATTTTAATGTTAAGAGACTGTTCTTGGAAAGTATTTTCTTAGGGATAAAAGAGCATGACATCTACAAAAAAATGTATTGGGGGAGAATATAGATAGTAGATAGATACAGTTCTTTGAAATTATTCTTGAAATTACTTCAAAAGTAAAAGTTAAAAAAATTTCAAAGAGAAAGGCTAAAAAATACTGTGTTAAGTCTTAGGGGTGTGATCATTTCAACCACTGTTAGGAAACTGGGAATTACTGAAAGGCTTTGGGTTGGTGGTGTTACCTAATCAGATTTGTGTTTTGATAGATCGCTTTTATCAGGTAGAATTAGGGTGATAATATTGGTGGCTAAGAGACCAGTTAGAAATCTGTAATACTCCTTGTAAGTAGGCAATAAGAGTCTGAAAAGAATGATGGTAGTTAACATGGAGAAACAGGGATTATGAGGTCAAATCAGCTCGATTTCAGTGGATGACTGGATATGAGGGGTGGGAGTGAAAACACAAAAAAAGAAGAACTATCAGATTTCTAGCTTGGGTGGTTATGGAGATAGTACTGCTACCAAAGTTTCAGAGAATACAGGAGCGATGACATTTAGCATAGAATTAGATGAATTTGAATGTGGATACATGGGACATCTACGTGAAGATGTATAGTAGATAGTCAAATATAAGAGTCTGAAGCTTTGACAAGAAATCAAATGTATGTATAGATAGGTATGTACATGCATGTATATGTATACACACAAATATGTGTGTATATACACATGTATATAGTACAACAGTGTGACCATAATCAAGATCAAGAGTTCATGAAAGAAAGGCTGAATCTAAGGGACTTCATTTCACAGGAATAAATTTAAGGAGCCGTACATTGAACCAAAATACCAAAACAAAATTGAAGTAGAGAAGGGAGGAGACATAACAGCAGCTGCACTACGAGAATAATACTTTATAGATTTGAGTATATGTTAACCCATTATGTTGATATCTTAGGATAATTTTTAAAGAATAAGATCTTAGACTGCATTAATGAAAATCTAGTATTTAGAAAGAAGCAAATGAGAATGATGACGTATTGTATAATCGTTAGATGACATTTGCAATACTGTGTTCAATTTCATTCAAGCTTGAATAGTGATAGAAAAGAGTAAAATAAGATGGTAGAGGGACTTGGATCTTGCTGTATTAGGGACAGCTGAAAGAAATGGAAGGCAAGTTTCAGGGAAATGGCTGTTTTAAAAAAATACTTATGATCTATCGTGTGGCAGAAGCATTACATTTATTCTCATTATTTCAAGGAGAATTAGGGGAAATGAGTCAGTCAGAAATGTTCACCTTCAAGGTTCCTTCACTCTATGTTTTGTGTTATTAAAGTGGTGGATGCAATTTACCGGGACACGTGTTTTTAACTCAACATAAAAAGAACTTTCTCAATGCTACAGCTCTCTAGCAATGGAATGGACTGTATTGCAATTTGATTAACTACTTGTCAACAGAGTGTAGTCAGTTAAAGGTTGGATAAGCCTGGATCCTGTAATGAGTAGGAGGTGAGAGTAGAGTACTCTCGAGGTTTCTCTCTGTTTTAAGATTCAGTGAGATGGGAATGAAGAGATTAGACAATCAGATGAATATTTCCTTTTTGGGCTGGGCAAATTTACGAGAAAGCAAATTGATATATGATGAGTATCTACTGGCTTCCTCTATATACTTCTAGAGCTATAAAGAAAAATAAAGATTCGAGATTCATAATTTCTGGGAAGGTGAATTGTTGTCTATCCAATTTGAAGCTAACCTTCGAGTTTCTTATATGTAGATCTTGCATGCACACATATTATTAAATAGCTCATACACAGATGATAGGTGACTACTCATTGCAGTCTTCATTCCCGTGTCACTCACCCAAATGTTGATTAGGGAGCTGTCTTCCGTCATAATCAAGTACATAATCATCTGATACATTTGGCCTTGTATCTAGAAAAGGTGGTAAAAGATCATTACCAGCATGGAAACAATCCCTTGACTCTTACATGTCATATTTTTATCTTTTTCTAAATGAAAAATGCTAGCAGATAATATGTAAGCAGTTTAGCTCAATTAATACAAACAGTTGTTAAATCTTACGAATTTTGGTTGCATTTTTGCCATTTATAGCAAAACTCTAAAAAATGTTCATGCCCTTTGGGTCAGCAATTCCTTTCTAAGAATCTATTATAAATAAATAAGAGTATACACAAATGGGGAGTTATAAGGTCTTTATTGTTGTTTATAATAGAAAAATGTAAATAAAAGTTTAACAATGGGGGTGGCCAAAGAAATTAAGGTTTATTAAGACAATGGAATACTTTGCCACCATTTATGAACATGTCGAGAAGTTAATAGTGTACTGCAACTTTAAATGAAAACATAGGTTGTAAAAACCACCTTGTTTACTTGTTTGTCTCCCCCTATTAAAAGGTGAGCTCCTAGGGAAAAGAGATGGTGTCACTTCTTAACATCCCCAAGCACAAAGCACAGTGGTGACCTAAGTTGTGGCACATCAAAAAGTTTGTTGAGTAAATGAATTTATTGCTCATGAAAGGGTGGAAGCAGTACATTACCTTTCACTTCAGAATTTGATTCTTTGTGTCTTTGCATTAAATGTTCTTTATCACAAACCTAATGGAACACAGAACCAGAAGAAAAGCAATACTATGTTATGAACATGAAAATGAGGTGTATTTCCTATATGATTGATGGTAGTTTTCAACATTTCTCATTTTATCCTCATAGGTTTAGAATGGATAAAATAATCTCTTAAATAAGAACCTTCTAATACCTTTCACAACACGACTTTTCTCCTATAGCAATGAGTAGAAGAAAATACTGATGTTCTATTTGGGCATGGAAGGGAGTTTAAAATTTTTTCACTTCATAGAGAACTTATTTATGATGAGAGACGAAAAATGTAGTTGATAATCTCACTTACTAAAATGAAAAAAGTAAAGATGTAGGAAGATAAGAGTCTGAAATGGGTGAAAATATATAAAATTGTATGAGAATGCATAAGCAATGACAAAACTGTGCTTATATTAAAAAGATGAAAAATATTTTCTTGTAGCTTGTAAAGAAGTTCAGAGTTAAGAAAGAGCACACAGGACAAAATCAGATAGATTTTGAGTAAGGTCTGGATTGTACCAATGTCAATTACAAAAGTGAATCTATAATTATTTCAAAATAAAAAGTTGAAAAATAGAATTCAGGGAGGCAGAGAAAAATAATTCCAAAAGTCCTTGGGAAATCAAGACTTTGTTAATTCAGTCCACATTTGGCAGAAGACAGTGAATTTGGTGTTCAGTATGTGCTGAACGAACTTGTTACTGCTAACTACATTCCCCACTGGTGCCTGATCACTATTATTAACACAGGAAATATTTGTAAAACAGCTTCTGACATTTTTTTATTTGAACATTTGAGTAGAAATCTAATCTGAGTCTGATACTCAGGTCTTCTCCAGCTTCTGGGTTTTCTGCAGGTAACAGAGGCTTAAATATTGATTGATTGGATCCAAAGGTGGATTGTTTGGACCCCATCAACTAGGGATATCACTTTAATTGTGCTTCATCTGTGTCTGTCAGGCTTATTTGCTAACTAGACAATTCTATTGAACTCTTGGTATCATCTTCCTCCCCTAATCCCTTGTATCACACTTCTGGGACTTACATTGCTTCTTTAGTGGCTGGATTATTTTAGTGAAGCCCCCTTTCTTATCCCCTGCACTGTTAAGCCTCTGAGTTTGCTCCCCAGGGGTGCTCACTTTTGGTATGCTCACATTCACCCTGGGCAGGGGTTTGGGCACGGCTGTCTCTTCCCATGATCACACCCAATTATTAAGTTCCACAAATCTCTGACATTCAGCTTTACTGTTTTCAACAATACTCTGGGCATCAATTGTTCAACAGACTTTATCTAATCAAACGTGGGCTCCTTCGAAGGGATAGTTCCTGAGATGGTGTCTGAGATTTGTTCCTCCCAGCTGTCTCTACCCAGTTCTCTCTGGCAAACTAGCCAGCCTACGGTTTAGCCTGTATTTCCACTGAATCTACCAATCTCCTCACAATGGCCTTTTACCACACATCTACTGTTTTTGAGAAGGCCCTTAAACTTGAATTTCTCCATGATCTGCTGTAAATTCACTTCTTGTGGGAAGAGATTAGGAGCTATCTGTTTTATTTGGTTCTTCCCCAAGGCAAAATTTCTGACCTGAGTGTCTGTGGAGCTGAAGGTGGGCACAATAGCATTATCCTTTCAGTGATACCCCACTTTAGGAGCTGAGCTGTAGGTGGAACGAGGGAGTTGTCTGAGGTCTTCTCTACTGGCCTCTCTCAGTATAGAACCACCACTTGACAAGCCAAGGCAAGGATTATTAGAGCCCCAAATTTTCTCAGCAATAAAGTATCCTGAATGGGGTCTGCACGCACATGAAATGTAGCTTCAGCAACAGCTGGAGGCAGGATAAGAAATATGATGCCCTGCCCCTCTGGGAAGATAGCCCTCCAACTGGTGTCTGTGGGGAGACCAGGCCCTGTGTTCTTGGTGGCACTACTCTGGAGTGGGATCTAGTATCACCGAGCTGGGAGGAGGAAGGTAGGGGGGAGTCCTGACTCATACCACAGGCCTCCACTGTTTTCTTGTTTGTTTTTTTACCAGCTGTAATAGATTTTCATGAATATATGTTTTATTCATTTCCTATATGCCCTTAGGACCATTTACAGACAATTTAAATGTTTTTTTTTTTTCCTTACATAATTTTCACCAACTCTTGCTAATGAACAAGTAAGTTTGCAGAGGTCCTCCTACTGGTATGGTGGAGGCTGATCTGCCAGCACTGGCTATGTTATATTTTTGTATTTCCATTTCACTTTTCTTAGTTTTAATTTACTTCTTCTTGCTATCCTGGATGCATCTTTGTAAGATGCCTCAAATACTTTTCCGAGTAAGGTAAGCTAATAAGTGATATTTAAATATAGCACTCCTTACTAAGACCCACCTCTCACCTGTCACGGTTCTTTTGTGTTTTTGTGAACAGTAAATAACATGAGGGAAATTTTTCCTGAGGAAAAAATTGGGGTATAAGACGTGTAAGAGGGAATCACTCGCCATTCTCCTGCAATCATTTTTGCAAAAGCTGTTAACCACCAGATCAATGACTATTTACCTCTTGCTCTTGTCTGGCATTTCGAAGGCTTGCTATGTTAGAATTTCTTTCCTTCTTTGTTTTCAGATGTTTTTTCTTGGTTTTTATCTAGGTAAAGATCATATTTAAAATCAACATTTAATCAACGCATCAAAGAATATATATGCAGACATAAAACTATCTTGAGACTTCCACTGCTAGGGAGCTGAAGTACTTTTCCTATGCCTCCCACTAAGTACAATTAAAACCCTGGGTATTATATACAAAATATACATAAGAGGCTCTAAAAGATGGAAGGAAAGCTAACTGCAGAGGGACCTCAGAGCAGAAGGGCAGCATGACTTAGTATGCATCCTGTGTCTTCTTTTTGCCTCCTACTCCCAGCCTTAGAGCTGGAGTAGCCAGCAACCCAGAAACGCCAATGAGTAACAAAATAACGGCTGAAAACGTCCCAAATCTGATGAAAGACCTGAATGCGAGCATCCAAGAAACTCAATGATCTCCAAGTAAGATGAAAACAAAAAACCCCACACCAATTCCATATAAATTTTAGGATTATTCTAGTTCTGAGAAGAAAGCCATGGGTATTTTGATAGGGATTGCATTGAATCTGTAGGTTACTTTGGGTAGTATGTTCATTTTAATAATATTAACAAAGAAAGACAAATACTGTATGGTTTTACTTATATGAGGAATCTAAAAAAACAAAACAAATGAACAAAGCAAAACAAACAGACTCATGGAAACAGAGATCAAAGTGACGGTTGCCAGAAGAGAGGGGGAAGAGGGATGGGTGAAAAGGTGAAGGGGAATATAGTCAAAAACACTGTGATAGTTTGCACAGTGATGGATGATTACTAAACTTAGTGTGATGATCACATTGTAAGGTATATAAACGTTGAATCACTATGTTATACACCTGAAACTAACATAATATTGTATACCAACTATACTTAAATAGAATACATTAAAAAAACATATTTAGGGCTGGCTGAGTAGCGCATTGGTTAAGAGTTGGCTTGGGAGCGCCAGGTCTGAGCAGTAGGGCCCCGGTTCGGATCCCACATATGAGGGCCAGTGACACTGCCCTCTACAGCTAAGACGGTGAACAACAGCTCGACCTGGAGCTGGGCTGTTGTGAGTTGCCAGTGACAGCGCAGGCTGCAGCCCCTGTTGCAGTGGCCTGCCGTAAGTTACCGTGAGCGGCCAGCAGCCAGCATGAACTGCTGTAAGCCGCCATGGGTGGCCCTCCAATGGCCGGCGAGTGACTGCCTCACCCGGGAAAAGCGCAACGATAATACCAACGTGGGCCAGTGAAGCAACGTCCTCCACAACTAGACTGAAGAACAAAAAAATGACAGCAACTTGTCTGTTCCCCTTCCCTGATTCACCAATAAAATCTTAAAACAAAAACAAACAAACAAACAAAAACATATTTACAATAAAAAACCCACAGCAAGGCACATTATAATCAAACTTTTGAAGTCAAAGACAAAAAGAGAATCTTGAAAGCAGCAGGAGAGAAGCAAATTGTTCCATGCAAGGGACCCTCAATCAGATCATTAGCAGATTTCTCATCAGAAACTTTGGAGACCAGAAGACAGTATGTCAATATATTCAAGGTGCTGAAAGAAAAACAAAACAGCAGAACTGACCTTCAAAACTTAAGGAGAAATTAAAACATTCCCAGATAAACAAAAGCTGAGCGTGTTCGTGACCATTAGACATGCCCTGCAAGGAACGCTCAAGGGAGTCTTGCAAGATGAAATGAAAGGACATGGGGGCAGTAACTCGAAACCATGGGGGAGAAATGAAGATCTCAATAAAGGTAAATACATGGGCAGTTATAAGAGCTAGTATTGGGGGCAGCCAGTTAGCTCATTGGTTAGAACGCAGTGCTCATTAACACCAAGGTTGTCAGTTCGATCCCCACATGGGCCACTGAGATACGCCCTCTGCAAACTAGATTGAAATAACTACTTGACTTGAAAAAAAGAGCTAGTATTATTGTAACAATGGTTTCAAACTGTACTTTTTGTTTTCTACATGATTTAAGTGACTAACACATCTAAAGGAAAAAATACAATTACTAGTATAAAAGCTGGTATTACTGTAACTTTGGTATGCAACTCAAAATCTTGTTTTATATATACTTTAAGAGGCTAATACATTTCAAGGAATTAGTAGCTTATGTTTTGGGACACACAATGTATAAAGATGTAATTTTGTGACGTCAATAACCAAAAGGCTGCAGCTGTGAAGGACCAGTTTCTGTATGTAATTGAAGGTAAGCTGCTATAAATTCAGATTAGAGTATTGTATCTTTAAAATGTTAAATGTAATCCCCGTGGTGACCATAAAGAAAATACTTATAGAATATACACAAAAGGAAATGAGAAAGGAACTTAAACATTTCACTACAAAAAAAATCAACTAAACACAAAAAAGACAATAATGCAGGATAGGGGAGAAGCAATACTGTAAGACATACAGAAAACAAATAGCACAATGAGATAAGTGAGTCCCTTTTTATCAGTAATTATTTTCACTGTAAATGAATTAAACTCTCCAATCAAAAGGCAGATATTGGCAGAATGGATAAAAACACACGATCTAACTATATGCTGTCTACAAAAGACTCAACTGGTATTCAAAGACACAAACAGGTTGAAAGTGAAAGGATAGAAAAAGATATTCAAATGGTAACCCAAAGAGGGCAGACAAGAGACTTTAAATTTAAAAACGTTACAAGAGACAAAGTATATTATATATTAATAAAAGATTCAATATAGCAAGAAGATAGCAGTTATATATGTACCTAATGACAGACCATTAAATCATATGAAGCAAAAATTGAAAGGACTGAAGAGAGAAATAATAACAGTTGGAGATTTCCATACCCCACTCACAACGATGAACAGAACAAGCAGATAGAAAATTTGTAAGGAAATAGAGGACTTACTGCAGTCACATAGGAATAATATAGAAATTGATACCTAGAAGTATGAGGCTGTCCTAATGAAAACCTAAACTATGTGACAATCATTGGCTTTGTGACTGGATAACAACAGGGGGTGTGGAAACCGGTACAGGAAGCTAGAGCAATAGTGACACAGTTATGTCGAGGTGATAACATTTAGTCAACCTGTCTTCTGTGACAGTGTGAAAGAAAATGTACCTAACAGACTTGGGTCACTGGACAAAGACATTGTTCAGCTCAAACAATATTTGGACAAAAGAACTGAATTGAGAGGGGAAACAGAGAGCCCCCAATTCTAGAATTTGAAGGTTGGCTGCGGCATAGCCTTAAGGCAAAGGTCAAGCCAAAGGTATGGCTTTTACATCTGTGGTAGACAATCTCTAAGATAGCCGCTAATGATCCCCATCTCCTCGCCTTCATGCCCTTCTGTAATCCTCTGTCCTTGAGGGTGGACTCAACCTAAGGGCTCACTTCTAATAAGGAGAATATGGCAAAAGCGATGCGATTTGGCTTCTGAGATTAGGCTGTAATGAGACTGTAGCTTCTACCTTGTGTGTCCCTTCTTGCTTGTTCACTCTGATGGAGGCCAGTTATAGGGTGTGAGCTCCCTAATGGGGGAGCCCAGATGGCAAAGAACTGAGAGAAGCCTTCGACCAATAGCCAGCAAGGAAATGAGGCTGTCAGCCCAACAGCCTATGAGGAACTGAATCTTGTCAACGACCATGTGAGTGAACTTGAAAATGGGTCCTTCCTCAATCAAGTGAGACCGCAGCCTGACCAACACCTTTGCTGTAGCCTTTTGAGAGACCTTGGATGTAAGTGCCTGGCTAAACCACTGCTGGATTTCCGACACTCAGAAAGTGTGTAATAATAAGTGTTTGTTGTTTTTACGCTGCTCGTGTTTGAGGTGATTTGTTACTCAGCAACAGACACTAATACAACATCTATATTAGTTCATTTGGCTGCTCTAATAAAATATCGCAGACTGGGTGCCTTATAAATAACAGAAATTTATTTCTCGTCATTCTGGGGCTTAGAAGGTGGAGATCAGAGTGCCGGTATGGTCAGGTGAGGGCTCCCTTTTGGGTTGCAGACTTCCTGCTGCACCCTCACATGGCAGAAGGGGCTAAGGCGCTCTCTGGGGCCTGTTTTGTAAAGTCACCAATCCCATTCAGAGGGCTCTTTCCTCATGACCTAATCACCTCCCGAAGGCCCCGCCTTCTAGTCCCAGCATAGTGGGCATTATCATCGCAACATACGAACTTTGGGGGACAGATTTATTCAGACCATAGCATTCTGCCCCTGGTCCTCCCAAATTCACATCCTTCTTACATGGAAAATACATTCATTCTATCTCAACAACCCCAAAAGGTTTAACTCATGCCAGCCTCAACTCTCGATTCCAAAGTCTCACCTCAAATATCATCTAAATCAGATGTGGGTGAGACTCACAGTACCATTCATCCTGAAGCAAAGTTCCTTTCCAGCTGTGAACCTACGAAACCACGGAAGTTACGTGCTTCTAAACTACAATGGTGGGACAGACCTAGGACAGACATTCCCATTCCAAAGGGGAGACACAGGGAAGAAGGATGGGGTGATGGGTCCCAAGGGAGCTCAAAACCCAGCGAGGCAAATTCAATGAGATCTTAAAGCTCAAGAATAATCTTGTCTGGCTCAATGTTCTGCTTTCTGGACCCACTGGGCTGGCAACGTCACCTCTACCACTTGGCGGCCTGTTGCTTGAGCCTGGCTCTCTGTGGGGGCCCTGCCCACACCGTAGCTCATGGCTCCAGGCAGCCCGCCTCCATGGTCTGTTTTGGAGGCCATCTGCCCTGTTCAAACCTAGGAGGTAGTGGCCCTGATGCTCTCTTAGTCACCTTCAGGGCCTTTTTTCCCTTGCCTTGAAGAACAGTGCATGTTCACACCGAATAGCTCTACAGTCCCGCACTATAAAATTCACAAAGTCTGACCGCCTTCCTTCATTCTGTCCTGTCCCCATCCCTGTTTTTCCTATGGGGGGCGGGGCGGGGGAAGGGCTGATTAGTTCTGTGGCTGTCATCCACGTGAATCCCCTTGTAAACTGGTTGGTCCTCCACACCCTTTCTGTTCTCTTCTGAACAAGCTTTCTCATTTTTTTTTTTTTTTGTTAACATAGACAGGCTGAGAATTCTCCAAATCTTTATGTTCTGGTTCTTTTTTGCTTAACAATTCCTTCTCCAATTCATTGATCTCTTCTTGGATATTACGATAAGCAGTCAGGAGGAACCATGCTGCTCTTTCAATACTTTGCTTAGAAATCCCCGCAGCTAAATATCTAATGTTATAGCTCACAAGTTCTACCTTCCACAAAACACTAGAATATCAACACGATACAGACTAGCTCATTGCCATTTGATAGCAAGGATTGCATTTTCTCCACTATCCAATAACGTGTTCCCCATTTCTGTCTGAGACCCCATCAGACCACCCATAATCATATTTCCACCAATATTCCGGACATGGTTATATAGGTTTTCTTTAAAACAATGGAAACTTTCTCTACAGCTCTCTTCTTTCTGAACTCTCACCAGAATTGCCTTTAAAAGTCCCTTCACGGCCATATCAGCATTTTCTAACATGCACTTCAAACTCTTCTAGCCTCTATCCATTACTCAGTTCCAAAGCCACCGCCATATTTGCAGGTGCCTGTTACGGCAGCACCCCACTCTCAGTACCAAGAAGCTACTATCTTAGTCACCTCCTAATACCATTACATTGGGGGTTAGAGTTTCAACATATGTATTTGGTGGGCACACAAACATTTCAGTACATAACACCACCTACAGTCCCTCTTCCTCCTCCCACTCTAATTTCCTCCACAAGCACTTATCATCACCTAACACGTAACATAGTTTACTTATCGTTATTTTTTATATCCACCAACTAGAATATAAGGCATGAAAGGGCATGCCTTGAGCACATAGCTAGAGCTCAATATAGAGTTGTTAAATAAATGAATACATGAATACTGGAGTAGCAAATCAGGTGATATATGTTATGCTACCGACTCTCATTCACAAGTGGTATGGCTTTTGGGAAATAATTTAACCTCTTTGGATCTTAACTGTTTTCATCTTTAAAATAAGTGTGTTAAAAAACCATAAGGTTAGAAAATTCTACGATTTAAAGATACGGTACGTAATCAGAAAACCACAATTATTGCGCTATAATAATTATATAACTAAAAAAAATTTTTTTTTGCCTGATTTGTTAGTCAAATAAGAAGAGTACCTATTTAGCATACCCATATCACAGGCAGAAATTTTCAATCATACCTGTGAAGTTAACTTGAGAAAATAAGTCTGAGAATCATTGGATTCTGAACTGTCGTCAGAGCCTCGGCTACTATAAAAAAATAATATATAATTATTTTAGTTTACAGAATTGTTTTGGTGGCATTTTTCAAATTTCAACTGTTACTTTATTATCTTATTGGAATGGTAAAAATTGTTCTCATTATAAAAAGAAGAATGTTTAAGAAGGTGGTGGAGGTGTTTGGTGGTTCTGGGCAACTTAGGGTATTAGAAGGATAATGACTGAAACTGATTGGAACACATCGAATATCAACAAATCCATGAGTTCAAAATGATACCTTCCATCTGCAAATAAACTTATTAGTCACCACTGGAGGGTACAGGGGTATTAGCTTAAAGTCTGAAAATTTAAAAGTAAAGGGGAAGAATCAAATATTTATTCTGCCTTTTCTATAGGATCTATACTAAAATTAGTACCTTTCCTCTTCCAACAACATTCCCTAAGCATTGAACTCTGCACTTATTGTTCACTAATTTAAGAATATTTACATAGCATCTTTATATATGTGTCAGCTGTCTATGGGTAATGATAGCATTAAAAAGAATCTGACTACAACATAACAAAAAACAAAATAGAGGAAAAAAGCTAGATGTCAATGCTTATATAAAATTGTAATAGCCCTTACAACTTCAGATTTAAAGTGTTTGGGTTAATTAAAACACCCTCATTTTCTAACAGAATTGACTTTATAATATGTACATGTTATAAACTCAAATGTATAAAATAAATATGTACTTAAAACCAAGTTATTTCAATTGTAAGATGAAAAATAAAACTTGATTTTAAAAATGTTGACTAGGTCCGGCCGAGGGGCTCAGTTGGTTAAGAGCTTGCTCAAGAGTTTGAGCTCTGAGCAACAGCGGTTCGATGCCCGGCCCAAGCTGAGCAGCCGCTGAGCTGCCAACGGGTGGGTGGCAGGGTGGCTCAGCTTCAAAAAAAAAAAAAAGTGTTGACTAATAAAAAAAGAATCTGAGTATGTCTTTCACATATAGTACACAGCAGGTGCTGAGTATTACTTGAGTAAATGAATAAATGAAGTCTTGATGAGGTCTGGCCAAAGTAATGTGCATGGGAAAAATTTTCCTCCACCTGTAGTCAGGATTTTCAGTTGAGATTGACAGTTATATCCTAGTATTATTATAAAGAGCACAGTAAAATGGGACACAAAATTACATTACTTTTACTATCTTGTCTTACCTAGACTCTGGATCCAACGTAATTTCTTTCAGAGAAGTATTTGAATCATCAAGGACTTTCTCCAAGTTGATATGTTTGTGCATTTCTTGTAATTCTTTTAGGCACTGATAATACTGGGGGAAAATGATAAATGAGTTCATTATAAAATAACTTTATTTCCTACTTAAATTAATTGAACATCTATAGACATCTGGAACAATAGCTATTGGGACATCAATTATCAGAAAACCTTGAACACTGTTAGGATATTAAAAGGAATAAACGGGGGTGACTGGTTAGCTGAGTTGGTTAGAGCGCCATGCTGATAACACCAAGGTTGCCGATTCGATCCCCTCATGGGCCACTGTGAGCTGTGCCCTCCTTAAAATAGTCAGCTATGCCATTGTAGCATGAAAGCAATGACCATGGCTGTTCCCCAATAACATTTTTTAAAAAAGAAAACAGAAAGGAATAAACTGCCATAGGCTCATAGGCAGGTTATGTTATCAGAGAGACTGGGGTCTGATGTGTTACCGAATGGACGTTGCTTACCTTGGTTCGGTCTGGATCACAGTAGTCCAAGAGAGAATCACAAAAGTGATAGCCCATTGACTCCAAGTCTTTTGTGTTGAAATGAGTGCCTCGTTTCTTACCTAAAACATCAATAAATTATTCCACCCTTGAGGATGAGTCAATAATTTGTCCTTAGAAGGTAGGCCTAAGTTGCAAAACAGAGTATAAATAAAAGATATAATTCCATATTCTGTCCTTTGGGTTTTCTTCTCTGGGGCAGGTCATAGCAGCTTATTTCTTTTCCCCTAATGCCATCTCTACTACCTGGACCAAAGGTGACCTAACACCTATCAGTTTATGTTGTAAGGCAGAAGAAAATTGAATAAGAAAGTTATAGAATACTTGGTGACCAGTTATAAACACCCTAACAATCACTCAAAGAAAAACTTGGGTAAAGATTTTAATGTTTTCATTATCATTAATAATATGATATCAACTTCAAGGTGCTTTAAAAACTAGCCAGAAATTTCATGTGTGGATTTCGAGCTTTCCTTTGAATTGATACATTTTCTAACAATGACAATTATCTTAATAAAGAATATTCCAAGGATATGCGAGATGTGACTAAAAGATTTCTTAAGTGGAACTACAGAACCCACTTTTACTTTTAGTTCAAGGAACCAAGTGCTTCCATTAAAATATAAATTGACAAAAAAAAAAAAAGAAAGAAAAAATACCGTCTATTTTGCCTTTCAAATAGTAAATCTACTAAAAACATTTCTATCCTGCTATTTTAAATATTGAGCACTACCTTTTCTTGAAATCAGTAGAGTATCTGTAGGAAACCTTCTAAAAAAAAACTCAAAAATAAGCCATTAAAAATTAATTCATGAAACAACCAATTAGGTATTCTATCTATGTATTAAAACTTCCTTTTCTTAACAAAGGGAAATGATGAGACAGAAGTGCATATAGTGGGCACTTGTTTATTCATCCTATTTATACAATTGATTAGATAGAGCATGCCTCTAAGTAGGAAGAACGTGCTATCATCTACTCCATTAATCTTACGTTAGAAATGCCTCTCTGGTGTAAAGCTCTGAGAGCCATGAATGAGAACATGGGGTCTTACCCAGAGTAGATCCGCAGAAGGTGGCCTCCATGGTAAAGCTGTTTCTGATTCCCATTCTCCACATCACCACCCTTCCTGTCCCTTCTTTGCTCCTCTGAACTTTAAACTTGCAAGCTGGGAATGAAAACTGGAAAGAAGCAAATAAATTGAGACCCACTGCTTTTATGGTAACAATGTCTTTCCTAGGAGATAGGGTTGAAAATGGAAGGTAGTTGTGCAAAAGCAGTAATTCTCTCTAAAAGTTTAGCTGTTTTCTTCCCCTGACCAATGGAAATAGCTCATTTTAATAATGCCATATTTCCATTTCTGAGGACTATAGATTTGAATTTTGGCAATACATTCTACTTTTTATCTATAGCATATTTAAAACCAGTTGACTAATTCTTTATACTGTTGAGATAAGATCTTACACTTCAAAAAAGTTTTAGAAAGAGCCTTAAACATGTTTGGGAATGAAGATTAGTGTTGTAGATTTTCAGAATAGAATCAAGATGCTTTATTTTCATATGAAAGATCATTTGAAAGTTGCCTGAAAGATTGTTATAACATCAGTATCTGCAGAGTTTTTGTAATTTTATTTTTAATGAGCATATAATAAAATTGACTTTTTTGTGCTCCATTCTATGAATTTTAACACATGTGTAGATTTGTGTAACCAACGCCACAATCAGGATATAGAACAATGCTATGTCTAAAACACTCCCATTTGCTATCCCTTTGTAATCACAAGTATTTCATTTATTTTGAAGCTACAGTAAGTGGTATTGTTTTTTTTTTTAATTTTAGTTTCTAATTGTTCATTTTGAGTATAAAGAAATTCAGTTGGTTTTTGTGGGTTGACCTTGTATCCTATGACATTGCTAAACTCACTTATTAGTTCTAGGAGGATTTTTTTGTGGATTGCTTTGGATTTTCTATGAGGACAATCATATCATCTTTATTATTTCTTCCTTTCCAAACTATCTGCCTTTTATTTCTTTTTCTTATTGCACTTGTTAGAACCTCCAGTGTAAGGCTGAACTAAAGGGGTAAGATGGATATCTGTGCCTTGCTCTTGACCTTAGGAGGAAAATAATCAGCTTTTTATCATTAAGTATGGTGGTAGGATAATGGGCATTTTCTTCTTCATATTTCAAATTATGGGTCATTAAACATTCCACATAGTTGTTTTCTTATGGTCAATTGTATAAATCAGTCAAAATAACAAAATAAAAAAAATCAGTTTACTGAATAAGATGATCCATTCTGCTGTCTCACATGGGCTACATGTAGTAAAAAAGTTAAAATCTTAAAAGATGCTTACTTTATCTGGACAATTTTTGCTCAGCATGAGTGGAAAGATTCGTTGCTGTAAGTATAATGCTTTACATCCATCACTACCACCACAGCCGTACATGAAGATGTTCTCTTTCTTACTATGGCCATGAAAGTCACAGTATAAGATAACCTCTCGTTTCTCCATCAATCTACCAAGAAGAGAGACAGTAAGTTACTGCATTTTACCTCTGCATTTTTCTTTTATGGGTATAACTATGGATTTACAAGTCTAATCGCCAAATAAATAGAACTTCTTATATTAGGCTTTCCATTTATTTCTCTTCTTATCTCTACTGCCTATTTTATTTATATACAATTTTTAAAACATCTACGAAAATTTCTTATTGACCATAGATAAGATACAAATGCCTTCCATTCTAAGGAAAAGACTTACCTTACTCTCCACACTTTCTCCAACAGGAGCTGGTTTATTATTCTGGTTTTCTGTTATATACGGAAAACCGTTCACTCCTATCTTGCTCCATTAGCTCCGACATAGGTTCTTTCTGACTGGAACACCTTTCTTTCTTCACCTTTGTAAATGCAAATACTACCCCTCATCCCTCAAGGCTGACCTCATGTCTTATTTCCTCGCTAACTAGTCAAACCCATAGATTTTTCTTTTTTTGAACTCCTGTAGCACTTAATATTGGTGCCATTTACTTGGCACTTGCCTAGGAAAGTTTTCATATTTTTGATATTTAATCTTGTTAAGGATAGGGAATGCTTCAAATCATCTAGAACAGTGCTATGCACACAAGTACCCAAAATATTTGTTAGAACTGGAGAGTGCCTTATGATTTGGTGCTGAAGCCAATTAATATTTATCCCTTGATTAATGTGGTGAGTAAATAATATTTTGAGAAAAATGGTATCATAGCTTGAATTGATTTTTTTTTCTGGGAAATTTAAAATAAATAATTTAAGGAAATTATGACATATTCTTAAGAGCTCAAGCCTTAGCTTGTATAATTTAGGCATTCAATGTATATTAAAGCAATAAAAAAAAAAAGAAGCCCCCCAAATTGATTGATGAAAACAATAGAGAGGCTTTCAAAAGGTAAAAATGTGGTGCTGTGACAGTGGTAGAATTATGGGCATTTTTGCTTTTCATATTTCTAAACTTTATATAATATTATATTACAGAAATAATAAAAATTATGTATATTATTTTTTATATCTGGAAGGATAAATATCAAAATATTAGCAATAGTTTTTATAGTAATATGAAATGTATTACAGTAGTCTCGCCCTTATCTGCAGGGCGTATGTTCCATGACCCCAGTGGATGCCTGAAAACTTGGGTAGTATCAAACCCTATATACACTGTTTTTTTTTTCCCATATACATACATGCCTTTTCACTTAAAGCACTTTTCAGCTTCTCTCTGGCATATCTGAATTGCTAGCATTACTACCTTTGCTCTTTGGGGTCATTATTAAGTAAAATAAGGGTTTTTGAACACAAGCACTGGATACCAGGACAGTCAATCTGATGCCCAAGATGGCTACTAAGCGACGAATGGGCAGGGAGCGTATATAGCGTGGAAACGCTGGACAAAGGGATGGTTCACATCCCAGACGGGATGGAGCGAGATTTCATGATGTTACTCAGAATGGCATGCAATCTAAACCTTACAAATTGCTTATTTCTGTAGTTTTTCCATTTACTATTTTTGGACCACCACTGACCATGGGAAACTCAAACTGCGGAGGGTGAAGCCATGGGTAAGGGAGAACTACTGAGCTTTTATAACAAAAATATTAAAACCCCAAATCAAAGCTTATGCAACACAGCTTCTATTACAAACAATACTCCTTTCAACTACAGTGAAGGTCATATTGAAATCTGTTACATGTATTAATTTATTGCCCTTTTCTCATTTGGTGCCCAGTAAATAGTACTTGATAACATCAGATTGGCAATAAAGCCACTAAATGATCATTACACATTTTTAGAAAAGTAACTAAATTATAAAGCAAGGATATCACATTAGCTCCTTAAATATGAAATATGCTGTACATTTTTAAACCAATATTTCCCCAATTTTAATGATCGTTTGGTTTCTTGTGAGTCAAAAGAAACCTCTCCTTCTAACTAATGAATTCCCAAAGAAATGTTATTACTTCTGAAGTGAAACAGGATATTAGGGTTTCTCATCTTATAGTAATTTAAATCACGTTAGAAACAGTTTGGATATTTTTCTTACCCACAGGTAAGATATTTTAATATCCTATACACTTAAAACCTACTTATTACTCTTATTCTCATATTTTAAAAATATACTCAGTTTTAGATATGCTTACAGCTGTTCACCTTGGCCCACTTATGTGACTAGCTTCATATTCTACTTACCTGCCTCTGATTAATTGTATTAAGGCAGTTCTCTTTTTTGGCCGTCTTTCTAAAATGTACTCAAGAGATTCCTGCCTTAACCTTCCTTACAGGGCAATCTGAAAAGAACTGAAACATTTAAAATGTTTTCCATGGAGACAAGCCAAGGGACCTTGGCCTGCAATCCATCTGGTGTTGGGTCATGTACCCGCAGTGTCAAAGAGCATTAAGTAGACATTACAGGTACTCTCACAGACTTCCATCAGCTCCTTTTTTATATAAAAAAATAACACTTTGAAGTCATTGTAGGTTTACCCAAAATTTGCAAAAACAGTAACATGTCCATCTCCCCTGATGCCATGGTACATTGTCAAAAACTCTGAAACTGACATTGGTATATTACTATTAACTAAATGCCCAACCTTATTGGAATTTCACTCGTTATCCCACTCATGTCCTTCTTTTGGTGTCCCAGAATCCAATCTAGGATACCGTGCTGCATTTAGCTCCTTTTTGACTGTGTGCCATCCACAGGAACAAAGGAATCGTCGTGGGTTATTCTTTTCTCACTTAAACATTTCCCATGTAACTTCAGAGAATTCTGAAGTCCACATTTGTGAGGGGTAGGAAGCCAGAGTTTTCAGTCCTGTTTGTGGGGATCTGTACTTCACTCCCTTTGTGCCTAAGCAGATAAAAGGATTAACAGGAAAGCAAACGTTGAGGCTCAAGGAAGATAATTGGAGCCATGCTGGGTGCTCTGAAAGCCTGGCAGCTCCTCTATGGAACTAGAGGTATCCTTGAGATCCTCAGCCTTGAGCTTGCACTAGGGTAACAAAGATGGATAAGGATATAAACACTCTCTATAATCAGACTTATAATAATCCTACGTAGCTTGCGAAGAGTTTTTACATCTTTATCTAATTCAACAACTTTTCTTTTTTCTTTTGAGGAAACACTGAGTACATTTAAAGCTTCCAATGTTCCTGATTTTATTCTGGGTACTTCAGTAATAATCATCTCATTTAGTCCTCCCATCTCTGAGGCATTATTATTTAGATTTTATAGATGAGAAAACTGAGGTTTAGATTTTTTTTTTAACTGCTCAAGTTCACACAGTTAGCAAATAATATAGCAGGAATTCTAATCTGATCTGTTTAACTCCAGCTCCAAACTCTTAAATCAAAAACGTTAAGAGACTCTGTACTCGGAATAGGTGTTCTGACTCAAATAAATCTTTACACTCTAGCACATGTCTATTCCTGATTGTTATTACCTGAATTGATTAAAGAATTCACCTAGTCAATTCAACAAATAGTTAGATATTATGTGCATTTTACTGTTCTGGGTTCTTTGAAACATGTAAAGCTGTTCAATTTTGCTAGGGGCAAATAAGGCTACTATTCAAGAAAGTTTTAAATTACTATGTAACCTGATAATCAAAAGACTCATATTAGAGCAATATATCATCAACACAGTGCCCGAAGGCTCTGTGAGATGTCACTAATTTTCACATAGAAGGGATTCAAGGATCCCAAAGTAAACCTCAGTACTACCATTAGCTTCAGCAAAAAACCACATGCGAATTTAACTATTAGTTTAGCAAAGCCACCAAAGTGTTCTAGAGTCAATTTCATTATTTGATAGAAGGCTAGTGGATCCAGTGGTATACTGCCAGAAGGGTATAGTAGCAGAGTTAGAAAGAAAGGGCGGGGGGTGGGGGGAGAATTAAGTAGCTATAGTTACTATCGTATGTTAAGAAAATCTAGAGCAACATGAGTGGGATTACAGGAGCAAAATTCTTACTGCCAACTTTATTAAATAAGCAGAGAGGTAATCTGAGGCGTAGTTTACCTACGGATCATGTTCCGGGTATACCAAACAGACGGAAATAACTCCTTCAAAAGAGATGTATAGTTACGGTTTAAATCCTGTCCAGCTAAGGAGCACCGGTAATTTCCTACAATCACACCATCGGGATTCAGCATGGGTACCACCTTGAAAATGAAAGTGTCCCGAAGCAACTGCGCATCACTCGAGTCTCCTAAAATAAAATCCAGGAAGCCTTTCATGATCCAAGAGCTGTTGGTTTCTCCTGGGTGGACCCTTGCCGTCAAAATCACGGCCTTTTGCTTCCTTGAGTCAGCATTCTTCAAGGGGGTGGTGATGGTTAAAACGTACACCATATTCCTAGCAATCGTGTGGCACAAGACACGTATTTTACAAAACTTTGATCGCACTGGGTCATTATTGATGCTAGAAAGGTATTCTTGCAGGTCGGTGTAAGTGTATGGATAGCAGTGAGCAAAGTAGCAGGTATCGTTGTTGTGTGGAAATTGAAAAGTCCACGTAAGAGAGAAATAATGGCGCCTGTCTTGCCCAGGGCTGTTTCGGTAATATTTGATTTGGTCTCCTATTCTCTGCCAGCCAATATGATGAGCCTTCGCCTCTTTTTCAGAATAAAACAGGGGGCGCATACCCCGATTGTAAAGACTAGCAGGCTTGGTGAAATTGATTATAGTGAATCTGTAGACTATTCCTGCTTGGGTATTAGTGACTTGGAAATAGTACCACTGACTGTGCTTATTTGTGAAGAGGTCGGGGCGTAGGGTCAACTGGTATTCATAGTCTGCCCTAATACACAAAAAAGGAAGGAAGAAAAAGCGCATAAAAATGTAGAAATGACATTCAAGTTCAAATAAATAAGGAAAATTATTTTACGAGTCACAGACAGCTTTTTGTTTTTTTGTTTTTGGAATAGGGGCAAACAATGTTTGTTTAGGCAGTATCCTAAATAGTAAATAATTGCAAAAGATCATTTTCTCTTTTATTGGACATGAAACTGCTTCTATGCTAATTCTACAGCCTTTTTATTACTTTGGAATTCAGGAGAGCACCTAAAAATGGGCCTTTGATAAAAAGGTTATATTTTCAATCCAGTGACATTTTCCATAAAAGGAATAATTAAAGGGGTCTTGAAACTGAATTAAAATCCAATGTTTCTCTTTTTACTTTAGACATATAGTTCTGTTTTTTATTGGATTCCAATTCTAGGGATCTGAAATGACTGACACAGGGAATGTTTTAAGACACATATAAATTAATATGACCACATAGATTACAAAATTTTACTTTGAGGACTGTATTTGATGACTATTTGTAGCCCCCATATTTAGTCACTGAGGAAACTTAAAGGAAAAAATAATTTTTACTGGATATATATATGTATATATATATATATATATATATATATATATATATATATTTTTTNTTTTTTTTTTTCTTGCCTGGTTAGTTGTGACTGTTTTTCTTTACCAAATATCTTCCTATTGTATTAGCATGATACAATGTGTGTGTGTGTGTGTGTACATACATGACAATTCATATTGGCATACTGAAAATGTACAGTACAGAAACCTGCTTCACTTTAACTCAGAGTTCTTAAAATTATTTGAACCCAGAACTTGAACCTTTCATACTCATCCCCACAATAATCTCTAATTAGCATCTATTCTTTAAGGAATTACACAGTTCAGTTATGGAGGCTAAAACTTTCATGTACCTAATACAGAAAATAATAAATAGTTGATGGTCTAGATCCTCAAATCAACATAATTAAAACCTACACTTTGACTACCTTCTGTAGATTACCACTCTCAAACCTTGCTTCAAACATCAAAGTACTGTCACAATTATCCACAGGCTGCTTCAGGGGTGTTCGGTTGCCCCCAATTCGGGAATACACAAAACAGGGCTCTTTGTAAGCTGATGAGAGAAGAAGGCCATAAAGATATCAAGCTATGTATGTCTAAAGGATAGGCCATTCTGTATAGAGTTTGGAGCTACAGTTATAAGTGAAGTGTCACTAATTTTTAAAGTAATGTGATACTAATATATAGATTTATGCTGAAATGAGAAAATCTAAAAGTATTTAGACTAGAAAAGCAATGCCTCAAATAAATTCATATAGTTCTCACATTAAAAATTCTCATTCTGTTTTTGGTTATTATGAAGTAATTAGCTTTGAACTTGCCTTCTTACTGTAAATGACTATAAAACTGGACAAAAAAAAATCTATTGATAGGGAATAATATTGGGTTGTCGGAAAAGTGATGACACATTTTTGCAACGAAAAACATAGAAAAAATACATCATCACTTTCCCGATAACCTAATAGTTGCAGGGCACTCCACTGGATTTATCTTTGAAAACTGATGTGAAGCACAATTCCTTCTAAATATAATTCTCCATTCTAATGGCCAAAGTGATATTTTATTATATAGTAACTTTGCATAAACTGCAATACACCTTCAAGAATATAACTAGCACTAAATCAACATTTGAATCAATATGTAACCAAACATCTTTATGGGGACAGGCGTTTCCTGGCAATTTCCACCATAAACAGCAAAACAAATATAGCTAAAAGATTAACCCAGGTACCAAATTATATTTTATAGCAACAGTTTCATTGTGTACTCACCATCTTCAGCTAGATAAACCACAGTATCTTCCTTGGAGTTTGGATAAAGGGGTTCTACCTCCAGGCCTGTTGGGATGTACACTGGCTCAGAATAAGAAGGAGTCCAATCTGTTAAAAAAAAAAAAAGTAAACATTACTTGAATATGACAAAAATAAAAGAGGAAAATTCTACTGTATATTTTCAAGTTGTTCATTGGTGGATCTAGGCTAAAATTTAGTGTTTTGTGTGGGGCTAGATTTTACCAAGGGCTCATGGGAAGTAATAACGAACACTGTCACACTGTAACACAACCCATAACATTTCATTCACAAGTTGTTGTAAATTACTATAGTGAGTAGTTCATGATTATTTTGTGTTATTATAGATTTTATACTAAATTTTCTATTTCTCTTGGATGCCTTCCTGACCCACCTCTGGGAATCTTGCTCTGTCTTTTATTTTTCCATTCCCTAAGCTTAATAAAATGTTCAAGTTTCTTCTGTCTCCCCAAAGGAAGGCTATCCTTGAACCCCCACTTTCTTCTTTAGCTATAACAAGCTTTACTTTTCATTATTTTTAGTAACAAATTTCTTAAAAGTTGTCTGAACCATGCTCATATGCACAATCTATATTTGACCAAATTTTTTACCATGATCTAGGTGACTGGAAAAAGTGAGTTCACAGCCCAGCTACCCTAGTTCCCACTTCTTAGTGGAACAAGAATTTGGTGATGACTCATTATCCTACTTCTCTCTTTTTTTTTTTTTTAATTTTTTTTTTTATTGGGGAATTGGGGGGATGGGAACAGTGCTGGGGAATTGGGGGAAGGGGAACAGACAAGTTGCTGTTGTTTTTGTTCTTCAG